ACCCAGGAAGGAACACACCGGACAAGTTGGAAAGTAAAACAGACCTTAGTCTGGCCAGACAGCACTCCCAAAGCAAAGTAGCTTAGAGAGGCGACTAGCCCAGAGTCCGAGGCTCTTTTTATAGCAGGTTGCAGGGGAAGTTAACAGGCGAAATTTACAGAAGAGGAACAAAGGTTAGTGGTCAGCTGACACATACTGATGGTCAGCAGATGTTTGTAGATTGTTCTATAGATAGCGATGTTCCCAACATCAGTTTCGAACAAAGAGTTGAGTAATTTACTTTGGGACCTTATGGCCGATACAGATCTTATCTAGTGTCCGGGAACTAACAAGCATCTTTATCTATTTACTCACATTCAGTTGGGGCTAGGGGAGTTTTATGATTACAGAGTTATGCAGTCCCGCATTCCCCACTGATTTTACAACTTAAGTAATCTTGTATAAACATAGGCATCCATTGTATACAGGGTGACATTAAAGTATTTATCATCAAGATGGAAACTAGTGAGGTGTAAATTATAAGCCCTGACCCTGACAGCGGCAGATTGGAAGCTGAATGACAGGAAGTCCTCGGTTCCTCCCATCTGGAGAGGAAATGACTGTCTGAGATTTTCCTCTTCTTGGACTCCATCTCTGGCAATTATTTGAATATTTTGATTTAGAATCGGGTCCTGAATTTTCTAAACTCATTAGCCTTGGGCAGTTCTCGTGGAATCGCCTAAGTGCACAGGGTCACCATGGGCCCCATCTCAAAGCCGCGCCCCAGCACTGGGCACTGAGTGAGCAGGCGGGCAGAGCCGGCTTATTTGCTTATCTATAGCCCTCTGCACGCGGCTTCAGGGGCCGCCCGGGGCCTGGCATACACTGTTTACACCCGCAGGCCAGGCCAACTGAGCTGGTTAGTCACAGGGAGACGCAACCAGGGCGAGGTCTCGGCAGGGCAGGCGCTTAGCCTGGCTCAGGGCGGGGTTGCCGTTGCCGGGGAGACTCCAGGGGTTCCCCACAACACCAGAGCAGAGCGAGTGGCCGGCCTGGGGGGCTCCTCCCGTAGGGAGGGCCTAGCGGCTGTTGCCAAGGACGCGGCGAGCTGCTCTCCGTGCTGTGCTTCAGTAACCACCTCGTCCCGAGCGTTTGGGGTTGCCTACCCCAGCTCCCTGTCCTTTCTAACACTGGGAAACGTGTGGCCAGGACACCCGGGGGAACAACACCTGTTCCCCGTACACCGCCCGGCCTCGCCAGGCCCGGAGGAGACAGGCGGCGCATCCGCACACGAATGCCGGAAGCCGGTCTAGGAGAACAGAGCAACTCTGAAAATTCAGCTCTGACCTCCTTCATAACCTTGGGATGAAACATGATCACATAGGCACAAATCTTAAAATCCGTAATTCTGATTACATTTGCCTCCTGAAAATCTCGACTCACTGTGGATGACGTAAAGAAACAAATGCCTACCAAAAAGGGACTACACGTGAGAGAAACACTTTGCAGTATATCAGCCAGAAATCTACTGAGAGCACATGAATAAAAACCATAAATCAAAGAGGAATAATAGAAAAAAAGACAAAGCCTACACGTAATCAAATAGGAGAATTTCAAACAGCCAATAAAGCCAGTTAAGTGTGCACTCACTAGTAATTGGGCAAATGAAAATGAAGTGCTGCTTTCACCTAGACTGCCACTGACTTTTAAAGACAGGGTGTTAAAGCTAGACAGAGCCAGGCAGAGAGGGATTAAGTGGGAAAGCTTGCAATTCTTGCAGCACCAGGCCACTACTGCACTCTGCTCTGGTGCACCTTGGTCACTCACAGCGCACCCTCAGAGACAGGTGTGCAAGTGATTGAAGTCGCTCTGGGAAATAACCATGCAGTGTCTCAGAAAACCACACCTCGGCTGAGGCCCCCCCACACACACCGCTTCCGAGACTTCCCCAAAGGAATTCTGAAACATTCATGCAAGCAAAGGTACGTGAGCTTGTCCACTGGCACACTGCATGTAATGGAAAAGGCAAGCGGGATGAAGTGAGCACCTCCAACTGTGAGCCACCACACAACATTTAAAGAACCAACCGAGCTGAATACAGCCCAAGCCAGGTGCCATGCTGCACGCCGGGAGGCTGAGGCCTGAGGTCACTTGGGCCCTACAGCGTGAGGCCAGCCCTGCCAACGCAGGAGTTGCCTTCTCCAAAAGACGCAGGATGATGCAGCATGAGCTGCAGCAACTAGACACTGAAGCCCCACAGGCAACGTCACCGATTGGCCCTGTACACACGAGTACACACAGAGAAGTAGTTTTAAACTGCCTGCAAAACACGCACTATGAACAGAAGCTGCTTGAATAGGAAAGAGAAGCAATTAAATCGGACCCCAGCATTAGCTAAGATAAATTTCTTTAAAAATGTAGAGATGCCAGGTTTGGCAGCGCACACCTGTAATCCCAGCTAGCTGGGAGGCTGAAACAGGAGGGTTGCAAGTTCAAGGCCAGCCTAGGCAACTTAGCAAGACCCTGTCACAAAATATAAAAATAAAAAGGGATTAGGGGAGGGGGGTTGCTGGTCTGGCTCAGTGACGGCACTACTGGGTACTTAAAAAAAGAAGGAGAAGAGCCAAATGACAAAGGATTAACAGCTACATAAGGAGGTGGCTTTTTAAAATTTCAATGTAATACAAGTAGATATTAATAAAGGAAATATTGGGCCGGGGATTTAGCTCAGTGGTTTCGCCACCTGCTGTGCAAGCATAAGGACCTGAGTTTGATCCCCAGTACCAAAACAAAAGAAAAAGAAAAAAGAAAATATTTTTAAGTCTTCTGTGAAAAAATAAAGCAAAATTTCACAACAAATTAAAGAATAACATTAGTTAATACACTGTGTACCATAATCTTAAAAGAATGGCCAAAATGTTAGAGTACAAGTCATAGACAAAAAAGACTCTTACAAAAAAGAACATAATAGCACAACACTTTCTTTTCAATAAACTAAGAGAACCTAGTGGTATAAATGAAACAAATTAGCATATATATTGAAATATTTTTGAAACCACAGAATATATAACTTGGGGAATTATTAAAACTTCTCCCTACTTTCCATTTCTCTATCTTCTTTTTTTATGTTTTCTTTAATATTTAATAGAAACTATGTACAATAAATTTTTACTGTATTTTACATAAGACAACCACCACAGAAATTTACATAGATTAGAAGAAGACAGACAGTTAAGGAGGGCCCAGTCCGATGGGATATTTTCTCAGAGCATGAAAGTCAGGGTTCAACTGGGAAAAAGGGTTCAGACTGCCAGATTAAGTGGATGTTAGAAAAAGCTAAAATGCAGGCCTTTGGGTAGATAACCAGATGCTGGGACCACCAATATTTCAAAGGTGCCATTCTTAAACACAGCCCCCATCTAGCCATCTGTGTGGATTCTTGCCCTAGGAGGTGGCTTTATCATTTGGTTTTGCATTTCTGTAATTTCCAAATTCTGGTCACCAAGTAGAGAGATGCTCTGAATCTATGATCAGGGCCTCTGGAGACCCAGGACAGCCGCCAGGACAGTCCCTCCACCTCTGTCCTCAACTCCCTTCTACATCATCTCAATCTTGTACATTTCCATCCCAAACCCAAAGAATACTCCTGAGCTACAAATCAGTTAAGCTTACTCTGTGGCACATCTTTGAATTCTGATTACACCAAAAAATCCATCATCCCATTTGTAAGCTCAGCTGTACACACCCTGCAGTTCCTGAAAGACGGAGCAGAGAGACATGTGTGAAGGACCTGCAGGTGACAGGTATACAAAGTGCAAAACGAAAAGGTAGAGACCATAGGGGAAAAGAAAGTCTGATTTTCTTGGCCTTGATTTTAAAATGTAAAAGCCAATTTGTGCATACAGGTCAAAAGGTTAATATGATGCCTTCTTACAAATCTGTAAGACAAAGACAGATGCCCTAAGAGAAAACAAGTCAAAAAACAAAACAGGAAATTAAAAAACGTGTAGCAAAACCAGTCAAAAGGCAGCATCACCAAACACTACCACTCAGGGGTGTGGGCTCCAAGGTTTCCACCTTGTTCACTCAAAGCCACCTGTGGGAGAGGCACTGGCGGAGCGCACCCACTCGGCCCAGACCTTGGGGAGACAGGCCTCTCCGGGCTGACTTCCCGGGATGCAAGCTCAACAGCTGGATGATCACAGCAAAGCTTTCCTCAATGCTACCCCGTGGCCCCACCTTGGGAAGTGTGCCCTAAAATGACCTCAGACGTCCTACAACATACTATAAAATGCACACTGTGGTCTGTCTTAAAAGCACTGTTTGTGCAATGATAGAAAGCTTCAAAGCCGGCCAGGGTCTGGTGTGTGCAGTCTGCAGGCCGTGCACTGCGCGAAGCTTGACGTGCCCATCCTGAAGGTGAACACAGCAACAGCACACGGGGCGGAGAACGCGGGACCAAGCGTGTGTGCGGGAAGCGATGATCCCGGAAATGTTCAGAGTGCTTTATCTTCGGCCGCAAGTGTCTCTGATGATTTTCACTTTCTTCCTTTGTTCGGTGTTGTTTACCTATCCTTCTTACCTAAATATGACAGCTGACGGCGCATCAGAGGTCTGCCAAGGTGCAGCGCTGAGAGCCCTGAACCCTAGGTCACTGCGAGCAGCTGCTCTCTGCCCTCACTCCCGCCCGACACCAGGGAAAAAGGCACCCAACGTTCCTGAGGCGCGTCCCAGCCCCCTAGCAGACCCGAAACCCGGCTCAGGCACTTCTCGGCTGGGCCTCCAAGTTCTGGCCCCAATGGGGCGGGTGAGGGAACAAAGCAGCTCGAACTCTCCGCACCCCGAAAGCCCCGTCCATGAGGACCCCAATCCCAGCGCGCTGTCGCCCACCGGAGATGCGCAGCCTGGCCCGCAGCCCGGGGACCCCACCCCTAGCTGGGCCGATGCGCGGGCGGGGCCCGAGAACCCGCCACGGCCAGCCCGCCCCGGCTCTGTGACAGGCCGGCCCCGGCCCCACTCACCCTCGCGGCAGCGCCGCCGCCAGATTGTGTCGGTGTGCAGCACGCGGCGGAACTTGCTGCAGACCTGCGCCAGGCTGGGCAGATCGGTGCCGGGCAACGAGGCGAAGATCTCCACCAGCAGCTCGGGCGGCAGGTCCAGCAGCGAGCAGCGCGGCGGCGGCGACGGCCCCGCCTCGATGCGCTCCTCCTCCGGGTCCGTGTCCAGCTCGCTGTCCGCCGCCGTCGTCTCGGCCGGACCCCCGCGCTGCTGGCGGCGCCGACACCCGCGCGCCGGGCCCACGCCGCAGAGCCGAGCGCACACCGCCATGCCCACCCGCCGGGACGCAGGCGCACGCACGCGCCGCTCTGCGCACGCGCGGCCGGCGCCCCGCCCCGCGCACGGCCACGCCCCCAGCACGGGTGTGGGGGGGGTAGGCCCCGCCTTGCGGGGGTCGGAAGCCCTGCTCACAGTTCCCCCCAGAAACTCGGGAGCCTGGGGTCTGCGCCGCCCCTGAGAAAAGGGTTACGCTCCCGGGAGCAAAAAGGCAAGGATGCCCCGTGTGAGGATCGAACTCACGACCTTCAGATTATGAGACTGACGCGCTACCTACTGCGCTAACGAGGCTTCTGGTGGCCTATGCTCACCCAGACCTTTGCAGAGTCAGCCGGGAGAGCTGCCGGCGGGTGGCGATGCGCGTCTTTCCGGGCTCCCCTCCGCCCGTCCGTCCGTCCCGATCGCCCGGCGCCCTGCGGGGACGCACAACACCGTCCGCTCCCGTGCTGCTTCTCGCTCGCCTGTTTATTTACCCGCGCACCCACTCACCTCTCTACTTATTCACCTGCTCGCCTACCTGCTCACCTACCTGTTCAGCTGTCTACCTGCTCACCTGCCTACCTGTTCAGCTGTCTACCTGCTCTCCTGTCCACCTGTTCAGCTATCTACCTATTCAGCTGTGTACCTGCTCGCCTGTCTACCTGCTCTCCTGTCTACCTGCTCACCTGTCTACCTGTTCAGCTGTCTACCTGCTGGCCTGTCTACCTGCTCACCTGTCTACCTGCTCGGCTGTCTACTTGCTCGCCTGTGCACCTGTCGCTTACCTGCGCAGGTGCGCGCTCGGAAAGGAGGGAGAAGTGGGGCGCACAGCTTTCTCCCATGCCCTTCCCTTCTGTCGGTTCGCCGTGGACATACTGCTCATTTTAAATTAATGAAACAAAGACTGTAAGGTGTGGCTCCGATGGCTTTTCCCGCTCTGCCTGGAGGCCCCAGCCCTGGCCTGGCCAGTCCCTCCCGCCAGGGTTGGGATGCCAGCCTGACCGAGCCCCACTCAGCTGCAAAATAACAACCGCAAGCACCCCGGGATGCTTCACTGTTGCCAAGTATTTCTTGGCGGCTCAGAGTCCTCCCCTGTCACGCAGCTCCTAAGTGTGGCCTGTCCCCAGCATGTCCCCCTCCCCACTGAGCCAGGATGGTGCCTGGACAAAGAAAGCAAGTGGCTGCTCACACCTGGGCCTGCTCAGGCCGCCCCACCTGGGCAGGAACATCCAGTCCAGATGTGTGCGCTCCTCCCTCCTGGCATTGGACGGGGCCCCTTCTAGAAAGCTCTCCCGATGTTCGCTGAGGGACAACAGTCCCTTTGTTACAGAGCCCTCTGCTTTATTGCAAACACTTGCTTGTCAGCAGCCTGTCTGGGTACATCCCTGTCGCCTCTGTGCCAGCAATGTCACCAATTAATGCTCATTGATTGAATGTTCGTTAAATGAAAAAGAAGAACAAGTAGGCTAAAAACAAGCCTGGTGAACCAGGCCATCGGGGAGAGGCTGGCAGGCTCCAACCACAGGGATGCAAGGTAAGAGAAGTCTCGTAAACAGAGCTGCACGACTATTTATTTATTTGAGACAGGGTCTGGCTGTGAGTCCAGGCTGGCCTTGAATTCACCATGCAGCCCTAGCTGGTCTCGAGCTCACACAGACCCTCCTGCCTCGGCCTCTCAAGTGCTGAGATGCAAGCCTTCATCACCACACCCAGGTGTGTGACCAATTTAGTAGGTACTATTGGAATGCATGCCTGGCGGTGCACTGTGTTCTGGGTCCCTAAATTACAAAGTGTGACACCTTGCCCTGTGCATTCCAATCAACTAAAACAAACAGAAACACTCCGACCTAGAGGCTGGGCCTACAATAGGAGTCACGTACAGAACTCAGCTTCTCCCGAGAGGAGTTTAGAGTGTGCCACACACGGTTGAGAATTGGCTAGGGTTCCTGCTAGTGTGGCGGTCACTTGAGTCATGTGCTTCTGCAGTGCTCACTGAGTGTTTGCCTCGAGCTAAGCCTACAAGTTTGTTTCTACTCCACAGCGAAACTAGATTTAGAGCTGGGGTGCAGCTCCAAGTGGCCCATGGCCAGCCTTCCAGCGGCCCTGTGTCCACCCCAGCCACACACACGAGTGCACCACACGGTACAGGGCGTTGTGAGGCGTTGGGAGGAAGGGCCCTGGGCAGGAACCGAGACCCGCACGGAAAGCAAGGCAAGGCCTTGGAGGCGAGAGCAGCTCGAAGCAGGATGGCGGGAGGCACAGGAGAAGCATGCGGGCGAGAGGAGAAAAGGCAGACAGCGAATCGCGAAGTCCTGGGACGGGGCCTTCGAGGCAAGATCGAGGACGGCCAGAGCCGGAAGCAATTTTCCGGCAGCTCAGGCTTCCTGGGCGCCGTGGGGCATAGATGGATTTATGGCTTGCAATGATTGTACGGGGCCCAGCACACTTTCTTCACTCAGCATCTGATACACAGAAGTGAAATTGCAATGGGCCGTTAAACGTTTAACTTCGCAGACATTACTGCCAAGACTCTGCTACTTTTGTATCGTTTAAATTTTTAAAAATATTTTTCTTTGACAAAGCCATTTTTAAATGCCTTTAAAGCACGTTTTTTGACAGAAACTGGTAATGATGGTGCAGAAAGGAGAGCACGGATGACACGCAGGACGATGGGGAAAGGCGAGCTTGGGCCTGGGTGGCGGAAGGTGCCGGGAAGGCTTCGCTGGGCCCAGCACGTAACTGTCCCACAGGGAGCCCCTTCCCGACGCGACCTAAGTGCTTCTGCCGCCCCTAAACAGAACTGCACCCTGCACCAGCAAGGCAGACCAGGGCGCGTTCGTGACGCTCCTGTCTCAGCCTCCCAAGGTGCTCCCCGCCTGGCTGTAAAACTGAACTCTTAGAACTGGCAACATCTAAGCAAATAAATACAATATATGCCAGGGCACGTTTTCCAGTTGGTTGCCAGAAAAAAAAAAAAAAAGTCACCGAAAGTAGTATTTCCTGGACCTGCCAGTGCGCAGGTGAGACATCTCGGCTGGGGAGGGGGGCCTCGCACTCGAGGGCCCGAGAAGCCCGCGCTGCCCTGCGGCGCCCTAACGCCTGGAGGCCGCCGCGGTCCGCTGCCGCACTGTCTGCCCGCGAGGCCACGTGAGCCGCTGTCAACCGCAGGCCGGGTCCTTCCGAAAACAATCCGCGACGGCTCTTGAGCAATCAGTGTTTGTTTACTTCTCTGGAGAGCAGGGCTGACACCGCGATTGACTGGACAACAGACCAATAGCCGCCCGAAAACAAAGCCGGAGTCTGGCCAATCAGAGAGAGGCGGGGGCGGGCAGAGCCCACACCTCCGCTGCGCGCAGCCCCGCCGCCGCTCTCCATCTTGAGTGTGGCAGGGCCGCACACCCCAGTGGCTGCATCACCCAGACCAGGTGCAGGGAGGGATGGAGGCCTGTGGCAACTGCCATGCTGGGCCCCCGCCGCGGAGGGCGCGAGACAGGAACTTCCTAGGGAACACATAGAATATGTTTACGGGAAAGACGTTTTGTTTTTGAGACAGGGTCTCACTATGTAGCCCAGGCTGGCCTCGAACTAAGGGATCCTCCTGCCTCAGCCTCCTGAGGCTGGGGTGACAGGCGTGCGCCACCACGCCAGGGTAGAAAGACACGTTCTTGCTTTTCTTGTCTGTGTGGGTTAACTTGTTGCACACGCAGATGATGGTGTGCCGTACCTCACAAAAGATATTCACTCGCCCCTGGGCACTCATTCACCACACTGAGCTTATGCTCAGCTGCGATCTTATGCTCACGTGAAATGTTTCACACCTACTCAAAAGCGTTTCTATTGGCAAATGTATCTGAAGCTCTTAATTTTTATAAACAAAATATAGCCACATATTATTGATGTAAATGTGCTGTTCCTAACGCAGAGATAGGGCTTGCTTATGAGCCATTTGACACTGCAGTTGCTTTGAGGGGTTTGGTTTGGTTTTTCTGGTTTTCGCCATTCTGGGGATTGGACCCAAGGCCTCTGCACTGAGCTAGATCCCCTCATTTTATAATGTGACAGTATCTCCTTGCTAAGTAGCTAAATCGCCCAGGCTGGGCTTTGAATCTGCAATCTTCCTGCCTCAGCCTTCCAGGGCTGGGAATCACAGGTGTGCACCACCGCGTGGTTTTCGTTCAGGTGGGAATGAGAAGTTAGGAGCACAATTACAACATCTTTGCAAACATGGACTTCAGTATTTCAAAACACAAAGGAGACAGCCAGGCATAGTGATGCACACCTGTAATCCCAGCACTTGGGAGGCTGAGGCAGGAGGATCTCTGTAAATTCCAGGCCAGCCTGGATTACATAGCAAGACCATGGCCCAAAACACACACACACACACACAGAAGAATCTAGCCCATCACCGCCACAACCTTTTAGCAATGAATCGAGGCCTGGGTGATTTGGTACCCTTTGCCGAAGCCTGTGGAAGGAAAATGAGCTGCAGCCACGCCTCCCCAATGCCATAGGCCAGATATGGCCGCCTTCCCTGTTCTTGCCTTTGGAACATCTCGGGCAGAGAAAGAAAAGCTCACTGCTTACAAAGTAGCAGTTCAGCCAAGAAAGCACTCACCAGTCAATATTTATTATCATAAAAATCCAGAAAAGGAAGAAACACACTGTCCACGCCCTCTTAAGACATGAGCACTGATGACTCTGCATTTGGCAGAAGATGGAGAACGTAATAAGAGCTTACGGGTTCTTTTTCCTCTCCGGTGTTGGGGACGGAAGCCAGGGCCTTACATGTGCTAAGCCAGCGCTGGACCACTGAGTCCCATCCCCAGCCTTTTTATATTTCCAGGTAGGGTCTGGCTAAACTCTGCCCTTGAACTTGAGATTCTGCTGCCTCAGCTTCCTGAGCAGCTGGGATTACAGCTATGCCTCACTGCACCCAGCTGGATTTTTTTCCCAGTGTTCATGAAATAAATACAAAACAAGTAAGCCACAGATCTCTTTGGAGAGCCCCATCCTGAACACACATGGGTGGTACTCGGGATTTAAAACGCCCCTTCGGGTCCGCGGAGCCAGACGGGCTCTCTTAGTGACCGTCGGTCGCCCGATGTCTTCCAGGGAAGAACTGGACAGAAAGGGAAAACACAACTGGGAAGTGGGTGGGGTGAGGACCAGGGCACCACCCTCGGGGCGGGGCCTCAGGTCCAGACCACTCCCGCTCCCGTGAGAGAAGCATCAAGCGGCGAGCCCGCGCCCACAGTGTTGCCAGGGGACAAAACTGCAGTGACTCTAGGGCGTTGACTTTCTTTCTTTCTTCTGGCACCGGAGATCGAACTCAGGACCTTGCAAGTGCCCAACTGACTATTTCTGATTCTGGAATCAGGCAACTCTTCACTCACAAAATACAACACGTGATCCACTGAGTCAAGTAGAAATTGGTTTTGATTTATTTATCTATTTATTTAGAGACAGCGCCTCGTTACATAACCCAGGCTCGCCTTGAACTCCTGGCGATCCTCCTGCCTCAGCCTACCGACTGTTGGAATCCCGCCGCCATGCCCGGCTGAGAGAAAAGCAAAAGTTAGCAAAAACGTACAGAAATCACATCGGCCAATTCTTTGTTCCTTTCTTAAACGGGGAGTGAGCTCCGCCTGGTTAACCTCAGGAAGGGTTTTTTTTGTTTCTGCTTTTTGAGCCAGAGTCTCGCTCCGTAGCTCAGGCTGGGCTCGCGATGACCCTCCTGCCTCAGCCTCCAGAGTGCTGCGATTACAGGCCCGGCCCTCGGGCAGCGTTTAGTAGGAAAAGGGAGCTGGGCTCGAAGCAGGGGCCTGTGGTCTTGCGGACTGAAGCAGGCCCGGGGGCCACCGAGTCCTGGGGCCACCCCAGGGCTCCCGGAGTCACCCGACAGTCACCAAGGGGTCGCCCGCGCGGGGCCTCACCATGGAGCTCCCTGCCGGACTCCCAGGCGCGTCCCGCAGGCTGAGGAAGAACCAGGCCTCTCCCTACCCGGGAGTTAAGTCACCAGGCGGCCGGGCACCGCCCCCGACGGGGCAGAGACGCCGCACCTCCAGCCGGCGGCAAACTAGCCGCGAGCCAGACCCGCGACCGCAAGTACCCTCCCTCCTGGCGCATGCGCCGCGCGCCTCCCCTGCTGCGCATGCGCCAGCTGGGCCCCGCCAGCGGCGTTGCACTCGGCACGCAGGTTCCGCCACGCCCGTTATGGTGGAGGTCCCGGCCGGCTGTGGCCCTGCCCCGTGACGCGGCGTCGGTCACCTGACCCGGCTGCGGGGTGAGGAGACACAAGGGAAGTCGCTGTTGACAGAGACGGAGCCGCCGCCGCCGCCGCCCCCCCGGGACCTCCTGCACAATGCCTTCGGAAAAGACCTTCAAGCAGCGCCGCACCTTCGGTGGGAGGGGGCGCCGGGCCGGGGAGGGGCGCGCGGCCGAGGGCGGGCGGGGCCGGGGGCCGGGGGCCGAGGCCCGAGGCCCGCGTGAGTCGGAGACCTTGAGGGGCTGCGGGGTCGTGAGGGAGCGGGGGATCCTGAAGCCGCGGGGTCGCGGCCGTGAGGGCCGCCGCAGGTTGGGGCGCTTCCTGGCTGCTGGTCCTCGGTGTTCGCCGGGCCGCCGCGAGGTCCTGTCCCCTCCGCTCGGGGCTGCCGGAAGCCGCCACCGCCGCCGCGTTCCCGAGCGGCCCCCCCAGCTGGGCTCGGCGCGGACACCTGCGCGGGGCCTGGGCTTGGCGCCCTGCGGCCTCGGCTTCGGCCTTCGCGTCTCCTGAGGTCTGGGGGGAGCTGCGCTCTGGCTGGGGTCCAGCCTGGCAGGTCTGGAGGTGACAGCCCCGGGCCTCCGTGCCCGAGAAGCCTGGTGTGGTCGGGGTCTGGGGGCCCGGCCCGCGTGCTTTGACTGCAGGGGTGCAGGTGGGAGCCCCAGGCGCCTTTTGTGTGGGAATCTTGCCCTGGTGACCTTAGGGCCCTGTTGTGTGCTGTCCCGGAGCCCCAAGAGGGCAGCACTGGAGGCGCCCTGGCCTTGCCCTGGCTCTGTCCTCCCCGGGTAGATGCCCTTTTTCTCCAGCAGTGCCTGCGGTTACGTCCTGTTTGCTTATAGAATTTTTAGGTTGTCCTGGAACAATCATGGTAGCAAAAGTGAGGCCAGCACACTAGGTGCCTGAGTGGTCCTGAGGGGTAAACTGGCAAACGCTCCACTTTTTTATCTTTGTATTTTATATATAATATATTTGGGGGATTTTCCTTTAGCTCACCTTTATTCTCCTCTGTCTGCTTAAGATCTCTTTGCTAGTTATTTTTAGGGGGGAGTTGTTTGTTTTGTTTCGTTTTGAGACAGGGCTCAAAACAGTACAGGCTGGCTTTGAACTCACTTTGTAGCCCAGGCTGGCCTCGAACTCCCAGCCATCCTCCTGCCTCAGCCTCCCAAGTGCTGGGATTACAGGCGTGCCCTACCAAGCCTGGCTTTAATAGTTACTTTGTAGGAAACTGTCCAATAGCTACTGGCTTTCCTTGTTTCTAACATTGGTAAACTTGACTGTGAGCACTGACCGTTCTCACTTTTGCACCAAGTAAGTGAGGAAAATCAGTTCTTTGAAGAGAATCCTTTTGGAGAACCAAAAACCTGTCTTTCTCGTCCCAAGTGAGTGACTTGAGGTTAAGTTAACACTTGATATAGCTGCTGTTTCTCAGATCAGCACTGAGGGTTCTTACAGTTGAAATGGATTTAGGGCAGCACCAAAACAGCCCCTTCCCTCTGTAGCTGAAGAAACGCGGTGGGGTCCAGAGGTGACACTGAAGGTCCAGCGAGTGTTGGAGTCGCCTGTCCCTTCAGCTCTGTAGGTAGCCATCATCACAGTGGACTCAGGCTGAGTCATCAAACGTATCCTTGTAGATTGTTTGGAAAATATTACGAACCTCCAATTGAGCGAATAATTTTAGACTCAGTCTTCTCAAATGTGCTTTCACTCTGCCTTCTCCTGGTAGCTCTGGTTTATCTAGTAAGAGAGCTGTTTCCCAGACTTGTTCCTGCTGGGATTTCACTGAGGAGGGCAGACATGGTCACAAGCTGCCCGAGGGCATGCGTGTGTCTCTAGGAATCTGTCGGGGCAGGTGGCTCCAGCTGCTGTAGAGGTGGGCTGGGGAGTGGAGGTCCCTGCCGGCCCCTGGGCAATGTTCCACCACCTTGAGCCTTGTTGCACAGCTAAGGGCCAGGCGTCCCTTTACCGCATAGAAGTGGAAACTGGGTGTATTTATCATGCTTCCATTTCACTCAGTGAAACACGTCCTGGGAGTTGTGTGTGTGCAGGTACTTTAATGTCCTAGGATATCTCCAGGCAGCTTTGCAAATGACATGTTAGCAAAGTAAGACATGCCTTAGTCCCCCACTGTCTTGTCTAACTGCTTGTGAGGCTTCTAAGGATTTTTTGTTGTTATTTTTTTGATACTGGGTCTTGCTATGTAGCCCAGGCTGGCCCCAAACTTGTTATGTAGGCTAGGCTGATCCTCCTGCTTCAGCCTCCTGAATGCAGGGATTACAGGCGTGCACCACCATGCCAGCTTTCTAAGGATTTTTACCGTCCGGAGGGAAGGAGCCTTGAGCAGATACGGATGTGCCAGGGTAGGACCTTCAGCCGTTTACCATCTTCTCTGAGGGGACTGCCCTGGCCCACCTGTGGAGGAGGCAGGCAGCACACACATCATGACGGCCCATGCAGGAAAAGAAGGGAGGAAGGGAGCCCATGCCTCCTCTGCCAGTCACCAGGGCTGCTGAGGGTGTGGTTAAGTAGCTGGGGGCCTGCAGCATCTGTTTGCCTTGCTTCAGTCCCCAAAGTCACTGCCCAGTGGCTGGCTGGGACACTGAGCTGCTGAGCTGTCTCTTTGGGCTTTGGTGCTGCTCTTTCCACCTCTTGGAAGTTGCTTGTCTCCTTTGTACCTCAATTTCTCACCTCATGAAAAGAATCATTTTTCCTCCGTCCCTTTTGGGCCTTATTCTGGGGATAAATCAGGATGAAGGTAACAGTGGTTTCTGATTTTGAGGCCTCCTATTTAGAACTTTTTTTTTTTAGTTTTAGGTTTACTAGGGTAAGTTGTTTGTTTTGTTAAGATGGGATCTTTCTGTGTAATCTAGGGCAACCCTCCTGTCTCAGCCACCCTGGGTGCTGGGATTACAGCTGTGGGCCACCAAGGTCAAGGATAAGCTTTTATTTGTTTTTTGTTTGGGGGGGGGCCGATTTGTGTATTTCTCTCTTTTGGGGGACATGTGTCTGTTCCTTACCCATTTTTATGTTATGAATTTGAGTCTTTCGTAATTTAAGCAGGGCTTTTCTTGTGTTGTTGTTGTTGGGGGGGTTGGTACTGGGGATGAACTCAGGATCTTTTGAGGCAGGCTCGGTGCCGCTGAGCTGAATCCCTGGCCTCAGGGATAACTTTTAAGTGTGAGGTACATTCCAAGATATGCAAAGAATTATTTGTTTGTTTGTGGATTTTTTGGTACCAGGGATCAAACTCTGATCGTTGCCTGCAGGCTGCGGAACCACTGAGCTAAATCCCTGGCCCACAAAGAGTTATTTGTTAGAGTAGATTAATGAAGGGATTTTCCTCTCTACCCTGAAGTAATCCACACTGACAAAGTGAAGACTTCTTTGGGAAAGAGGCCAAAGTCAGTCTCAAAGGCACAGCACAGTTCTGGTAGGAGGGCTCAGGGAGGGGTGGGAGGAGGTGGAGAAGGATCAAAGGATGAAAGCTGCTGGCAGGGTCTCACTGTGTAGCCCGGGTGCCATTGATCCTGCCCCAGCTCCTGAGCTCCTGCCCCCGTCTCCCGAGCTGGGATCACAAGCGAATGCTGGGATTACAGGTGTGCACTGCCACACCCAGCCAGTTTACTGTTTATAGTAGCTAGATTTATCTTCATCCTCACATTTTTTTCAATAGTACAGTAAGTCCCTGACTTACAAACTGGAGATTGAAACTTTCACAGGCACAAATGGACCTCACATTATGAACATTCATAGATGCAAGCAAATCATGAAAGTAGCTCATGTATCTGCTGGACTTTGCTCTGTCCTTACTGTAGAGTGTGATGGTGTACAGCAGTACATTACAGTCAAGGACATACTGTATTTTTGTGTGTGATTGGTTTTTTTATGCTTCACAGTGTATATTTGTGTCAGGTGTATAAGACTCACTTTGTGGGACTTAGAACAAGTTGGACTTACTCATTTGTAAGTCAGGGACTTACTGTATGCACTTGTAGAAACTCAGGAGTTTTACCATCCTCTTTTTTACCATCCATAAGGCACCTATGTTTGTGTTTAGTAATTAATCTTAAACCAATGATGGTGAAGGTTTTAGAGACCGAGTGCCAGACTGCAACCCAAAACCCACTTACTTATTGCAGAGTGCCAGCACTGCAATTCAACCTGAACACTGAGGTTTTAGTTCAGTGAAAACAACTCTTAGCCAGGTATGGTGGCACATGCCTGTAATCCCAGCACTTGGGAGGCTGAGGCAGGAGGATTGCTTTGAGTTTGAGGCCAGCCTGGGCTACATAGTGAGTTCAAGGCCAGTCTGAACTACATAGCAAGACCTTGTCTCAAAAAACCAAAGAAACAAAGAGAAACTGACATGAAATAAAATGTTGGGTAGGAAAATAGAATTTATATGGCTGTACTTAACATGGGGACTATTTCAGTAGTGTTTGTAAAAGCTGTTAACATTTAGCTGAGGAGGACCAGGGATTTAGCTCAGTGGTTTCGCCACCTGCTGCGCAAGTGCAAGGACCAGAGTTCAATCCCTGGTACCAAAAAAAACCCAAAACATTTAGCTGAGGTGATTCTTATTAGTTTTTTTCGCCCTGTGGTTTTAAGTAATACCATGTCAATCATACGTTCTCATGTTGCTCTATGAATGACATGTTCACATCTCTGATTGTATTGTCAGGCTACTGAAAACTACACTTGGCTTATCTTTTTCCCATGTAGTACAGAAAGCTTAGTAAAATTGTTGAAAATAAGTGATTATACTAAAAAGGGAACCAGATTCTCAGAAAAGTATTCAACAGTAGACTTTGTGATTTAAGCTTTGGTTTCTTAGGCACCAAGCACAGTTTTTAAAACTCCAGCAAGGTACTCTTCCCACACGCTTGCTTGTGAGTAGCTTCCTTACCCTTAGGCTTCACGCCATTAAAGAGTCGGAAGTGATAGGAGAAAATCTCATTGAGTAAGCCGTGTCTTAAGAGTGGGTTCCTGTGCCAGCGAGAACCGTGGAGAATGAAGGCACAGTGACATGCGGGGGCCGGAGCCCTCGGAGGACAAACCAGGGAATCCCCGTGGGCTTGCTCAGCAGATCTGCCCTGACCTGGTGCGCAGCCATGGCCCCAGACCTCCTCTGCACTCCTGGCATCGCCCATCTGCTGTGAGGCATGGGCACTTGGTTTCCTTGAGTCCCAGCGGGGCAGCACTGCTGTGCTGTGGCGCAGTGAAAGACAGCTGAGGGGGGCGGTTCTGCGGAAACTCCAGAAGAAGAGTCTGGCTGCCCTGATGATGTGTGTCTCCTTTCTTTGCAGAACAAAGAGTGGAAGACGTTCGGCTCATCCGGGAGCAGCACCCCACCAAGATCCCGGTAGGTCCGCAGGAGCCCGCTGCAGTGAGTGGCCTGGAGGGGGCTGGGTGCTTGCCAGGTGGGTGAGACGTGCAGACCCTGTGTGTCACTTTCCTAGCCTAGAGTTAAGAGAGCTTGGCTGTTCATCTAACTGCATTCTTCTCTTTAATCTGAATTTGCTGCTCGAGTGTTGTACATTTTGCAACCCAAATGTAATTATTTAAGGAGAAAGAGACAGAGGGCTAGGTCTGTTGGTTGCTTTGTTGTTTTGTTTGTTTTAGTGCTGGGCCCCAAGGGAGCCCAGGGCCTGTGCCTCTTCAGCCCACCTCTACCTTGAGCTCCACCCCAGTGCGCTGTTTTATTATGGACGGTAATAAAGTTGCAATGAGTGCTGTGCAAACCTGTAGCTCTTGGGTTAACCATCCCAGAGGGCTGGGATTACAGGAGTGCACCACCTCTGGAGGCTTAAGATGTTACCCCTGTCACTCACTGAGTGTCTCACTGATGTGCAGCCACCCAGCTCCTGTCCTGAGTTCCCCAGTCGTGGTCTTAGAGCAAAATGTGCAGAAGGAATCCGCTTTTTCAGACCTGCCTAAGTTCCAGTCCTAACTGCAGAGATGCTGGGGGATCCTGGACTAGTTACTAAAATTCTGGGAGGAGTTCCAGTACCCTCATCGGTCAGGTGGGAGGAGGCCCGCCCAGGTGGGTGCAGGTTTGCATGATTTAGGGCACATGGCCAGAAAAGGCATGACCCTAGGAGTGGCCTCCCAGACCACCCCCCTTCCTTTCCCCTGAAGTCCGCACATACTGCACACCTTCAGGCCCTGCAGAAATGCACAAGTTGGCCTTGCATGCCCCGTAACACCTGCCACCTGGGTGGGCTGGAGCGCCAGACTCACCGGGACTGCCTTACCCAGCACAGTTGGCCACAGGAGCCTCGCAGCTGCCAGGGCCTGAGGGGAAAGGCCTGGTGGGAAATGCCCTGTGCTAGCACCTGAGGGCCACACTGGGCACCTGTCAGAAGTGACCGTGTGCCTTCCCCATGGCATGTGTGTCTTCTCTCCTTTCTTAACAAAGGGAAAACGAGCTAGGAGCTGAAATGCAAAGTGACAGGTCTTAGGTTTGCCTCTTTGTGGTGATTACCAGCAGGGTCAGGTCCAGCACTGAGGCCCGCAGCTATGAGAGCAGGAAGGTGGGGTGGCCTGCTGGGTGTTTCTGTAACAGAGTGGGGCTAGGCCTGCAGTCTTTCTTCTCGTCCTCTGACCTCTTACAAGCACTTCTGGACGGGACCCAAGAGGTACACCCTGCCACCTCTTCCTCTGGGGTGGCCTCACACAGGGCCTCTGCAGGACACTCCCAAGGAGCACTGCAGAAGTACCCCAGGATCCCCGTCGTGTATGTGACAGCGCCGAGGACTTGCTGTGGGGAAGGGGGTGCCTGGCAGTTTGTAGGTTTGGGCGGATTTTACAGTGCTTAGAACTGAAAAAGAAAACCTTGCCTTCACAGAAGGCAAGGAGCTAATAATGTGGAACTATTTTTGTTTCTTCGTAGTTCAAGGTACTTAAATTTTTAGCCTCGTAAATGTTTGAGGAGACAGGTGTGTGTGTTTGTGGTGCTGGACATCACACCAGGGCCTTGCATGTGCCGAGCAGTGCTGTGCACCCAGCCACAGCTGCCACCCGGTGAGTAGCTGGGTTAGTCAGGACATCACGGATGCAGATATCGGAAACCACACAGTTCCCATGTATCTATACCAGTCTGTGTTATGTATCAGAATTAAATAATATAAATTTTAAAAATCAAAGAAATGATATTTTATCAAAAACAACCAGGATGGTGGCAGATGGATTCTGGGAGGCTGAAGCAGGAGGATCGCAAGCTCAAGCCCAGCCTAGACAAAGTAGTGAATTAGTGAGCCCTGTCTCTGAAAGTAAAAAAGGCTGGGGATGTAGCTCAGTGAGCAGGCCCCGGGTTCAGTCCCCAGCACTGCAGAAGAACCCCAAGGGCCATACAGTCACTCTGCATCAACTTCGTCTTTAGAACCAGCACGTCATAGCATCCTCTGTCTTGTGAGATACTTAGGGCTTTCTCGTGCCCAGTAGAGAAAGGGCTCCATTGTGAGAAACAGAGCATCACCTAGGGAGGACATCCATGGGCGGTGGCAGTGGAGGGGACAGCGCTGCCCAAGCTCTAAGCGGGTGTCCACACCTTCTTTTCCTGTGAGGCTTGGGGCCTCTGACCGGTAGTCGTTTGTCATGCACCACATTCACCAAGAGTGACATGCAGCCAAGTGTGCCTCCCACCTGCTCCACTTCGTCAGGAACAGGCATACCGCTAAGAAATGATCGCCCGCTTGTTGCATGAATGCACCAAGGAAACCAAGGGATGTGCCGTGTGGGGCCCATTTTGGCATGTCTCAGCTACCCTTTGAGAAGCGCATTAGCTCGTTTGGTTTTTTTAAGTATTGGAGATTGAACCCAGAGCCTTCACACTGAGCTACATCCTCAGCTCTTTGTGTTTTGAGAGTCACTAAGTTGCCCAGGCTGGGCTTGAACTCGTGATCCCCCTGCGTCAGCCTCCCAGAGCGCTGGGATGATGGGCAGGTGCCACACCTGGCTGCTTTGTTGTTGGTGCCTGTTTCTGAGTCGCTCTGGTTTCTCTAGGTGATCATAGAACGGTACAAGGGTGAGAAGCAGCTGCCCGTCCTGGATAAAACCAAGTTCCTCGTCCCTGACCATGTCAACATGAGCGAGCTCATCAAGATCATCAGGTAGGCAGCCACTTCCTGTGTCCCGCTTCCTCAAGCAGCTCCTCCTCTTCCCACCTTTGGTTTTGAACTCGGGTCAGCCAGGCTGATGAGAGGGTTGCAGTGTCCGGTTTCTCACCCAAGGCCTCAGGTCTCTCCTGATTCTTGTATGCCAACACCTCGTGTAGGAAATTGGTAAGAGAGAAGGTACACCGTGCGGCAGCGGGCACTGGCACAGGCTTAGGGATGAGAAACACCGTCACAGGGATGTCACGTGCTTTAGGAGACAAAAGAGATTCCTCACTGCATTTTGCCCAAAGCAGCATTTACACTCAGTACAGCGCCTCAGCCTTGGGTAGGGACAGTCTCGCACACTTCTGTGCTGAGTGTGAGTGTGTCTGTGTTTCTCTGCATTGCTTCCCTCCGTAGGCGGCGCTTGCAGCTCAACGCCAACCAGGCCTTCTTCCTGTTGGTGAACGGCCACAGCATGGTGAGCGTGTCCACCCCCATCTCGGAGGTGTACGAGAGCGAGAAGGACGGGGACGGCTTCCTGTACATGGTGTACGCCTCCCAGGAGACCTTCGGGAGGGGGCTGTCCGTGTGCGACTAGACAGCGCACCGGAAGCTTCCTGAGCCCTTACCATGGAGAAGAAGGGATGTCACCAATGAGATCGATTGGCTCATCTAGTCACAGGTCGTCAGAACAGTCGTTCCCACCTAGGAGTCTTAGGAAGTTGATTTTGTATTTCATGCAGAAAAACTGAGTTCCATTGAGCACACTCGGCTTTGGAAAGCTCTTATTTAACCTCAGCTACCTTGTTTTCAAAGTTTAGAAGTTTAAAAATAAAATACTTTGCACCCTAAGTTGCCAGTAAAACAGACCTTCAGTTATTTTAATGCTTTTCCCCTAGTAGGAACTTGCAGTCGGAGCAGCAGCTTAGCTTCAGGCCCTCAAGACACCGAGGCCCTTCCCTGGCTCTGAGCCAGCTCCACAGGTCCCTGTGCCCAGGCTGCCGGGCAGAACCCCAGTGCCTTCTCGCAGCGCGGGCAGGGTGGGGAGGCAGCTGGGTCCACCCAGCAGCAGCAGGCAGGCCCCTGGAGGTGCTGCGCAGCACTCGGGCAGCAGCAGTCCTGAGTGACGTGTAATTTGTGCCAAGTTCCCTTAAGAGCAGCGGGAGCAGTGGCATTTCGTCTGCTTGGATTTCTCTGGGCTGAGACCTCGAGCTGGCGCCTGCTCCGGGAGCGAAGCAGCAGTGGCCAGCGGACTCCATGCCGTGCTCCTTCTGCCTGTGGCCGTGACACAGGATGGGCTTCTCCACTAAGTAGACACTTGGGATGTCATGGAAGGGCTCGAACGCCAATAGTAGGACTGTCCACTGTGCACCCACGGCACTGGGCTCCCTGTCTCAGGAAGGCTGTTGGGAGAACTGTCCGCGGTCCCAGGGGGCAGCATCGTGGTGCCCTCCCCTGTATGCGTGTCCCCTGCGAACTATGACCTGTGTTAGTTTTACACAATGTAAACTCAGCCTGCCTCCTGTAGACTACGCGCCATTATATCCACAACCCTTGTAACCACTGTATGACCGGTAAGATGCCTGTAACACTGCTTTTCGCAAGCACTGAGGGGGGTGGTGTTTGTTTATAGCATCTTGAAAACAGTACATTTGTAACGCACTAAGTAAATAAAAGTATAACCGAACCTGTCAGTATCACCTGAGCCGCCGGGGCCCCGAGGGCTGCTCTGGGTGGTGGCAGTGGGCAGCACTCGGCGGGCCTCACCTCCACGGCACTGCCTCTGCTTGGTCAGGCCTGTGGCAGAGGAAGGACGTGAGAATGGCCCAACAGTGACAGCCAGGTGGCAGGTGGCATCCACCTGCTGGTAGAAGCGCCGAGGCCCTCAGACCAGGCCCAAGGCAGCCAGCGTGGGCCCACACTCGGGCAGGTGTGCAGTGTGGACCCGGGTGGGCGGAGAAAGCCGGTGCCCGCTCCTGAAAGAGCCAGACTGGAGCAGTCACAGGCCGCCTGTCACTGACTCACCCTCAGGGCTGCGAGGGCAGGCCAGCCTGGCGGACTCCCAAGTGCCGACCGAGGCTCTGGACACCTTCACCTGCAGCAGAGCTTGTTCTAGTGAGACACTGCTGAAAACTGGGAACCCTACAAGACGACGAGTGTCCCTCAGCAGGAGCCCGCCTTCTGCATCCCACACGGAGAGACAGAACTGGGGCAGACTGGGACAAAGGCCTGATGGAACCAAAGCCAGAGGCTTTTTTTAAATTTTTATTTTCAGTACATTAAATTTACTCATAAAAACATTCTAAAAATGTACAATTTTTCCTTTTTAACAAAGTATAATAAAACATAAAAACCCCAAAAACAGAATACTTGACATTTACAATTCAAAATCAAATTAGCAGAATATTAAATATTTACAAAACTATATCTTTTAAAAATATTTATAAAGTTACATGCATTTTGTAGAATTGACAAAAGAATGGCTCAAAAATGGGAGAATTTTCCTTCATTCCTTAAAAGAAAGTATGTCCAATAGAAGCCGTGAAGGGTTGCAGTCTTGGTACCAACGCCTTGTTGTGTGCACATGAGAGCTAATGTGAGGAGGGGTCATCGTCCCTGGGGTGGGGCTGGGGACACTGCTCGCTCCCAGAACAGCAGGGCAGTGCCAGGGACCTTTGGCCTCCACCAGCACAGCCTGTGGTTCTAGAACATTCGCTTCCAGGCAGGCCCTTGGGACTGTGCGACAGTCCAGTCTTGGGTCCCACACCTCTCAAGGCCACCTGACTTGCTCTTTGGGAGTCACCTGCACTCTGGAAAGGACACAGCCACTCCACTTGGCTCCGATCCTTGGGGACCAGGTTTGGCAAGGAGACAGTTTCCCTTAGAACTTTAAGACTTCAGCAGGTAATGCCACCAGGATGTAAACCGGCAAGGCCTTGGACAAGACACCTGGAAGCAGGAAGGGACTAGAGAGGACGGAGGAGGAGGGTGTGACCTGGCTCCCTGGGCAGGGCCTGAGCATCAGTCACATTGAGTGGGTGAGGTTTAGGCAGAGGTGCTGCCCCTGCTGCTGTCCTCAGCACATGCGTGGTGCAGACCAGGCGGACTGCAGTACAGGACCTAGAATCCTAACTAGTGAGTAAAGTACAGACCCTGCAATTACGCAGTAACAAGCGGGCTCCTGTGATCTTGTGGAGATGATAGAGGATGCTGGTTGGTTTAATACCCAATCACATATGCGTCCAAGAAAATACTGTGTTTTTATCTTCACTGTTAAGTGCTACCTCCCATTCCTCATTGCTCTTTAGCAACTAGGAGTTTAACATTAAACATTTTTTCAATTTTTGATATTACCATGAAATAAAAATTAGAAAAGGTAGAAAATTGAAATATTTTGCCTAAATAAACAGGTTAAATAGTTGCTTTATCCCAACATTGTGTTCCAGTCGGGCTGTACACTCCACTGTCCCCATTCCTGCAGACAGAAGGGCAGGGTTACAAATGGAAGATAGGACAGACGCGCAGAGAAAGACCAACCCACCCGGCTGCACAGCGTGGAGACTGTGCACACCTCAGCAAAAGGACTCGGAAGGGTCAGTGCGACGCGTGGCTAACCAGCCTTGGTGGATGAAATGCTCTTCTGGTGTCCTGACTTTGGTTGCTTTTGGAGAAGAATACTGTGTGCACAGGGCTCACTCAGGAGCGCACGCAGGTCGGCAGTGGAGTCCCCAGCCCGGCCCGGCGAATCGCTCATTCACATCGCCCCACCCGGAGGGACGCCCCCGTCGGAGAGGCCAGGCCGCTGCACGCCACTTTCCAAGCCAGCCGGAGGTTTTCCCAGGACCTCTGACGGCCGGGACACGGCCGGGACACAGTCAAAACTCACGACCTCAACTCTTGAGTGTCATACTTCAAATGGAAGTTTCTGTTTTAAATTTGTTGTATTGCAGGTTAAACCTCAACATTTATCAAAATAGCTGTAAGGGTAACACAGACAATTTTCATTCTCCTATACTGACCACTAAAACAAAAAACTGAAATGTTTTTCTCTTGCTATGAGACAGTTTTCAACAATTTCACTGTGTTGAAACAGGATTTATTTAAAATATTTCTTTGTTTAAAAAAACCAAAAAATTTAAAAGTTTGGCTTTCAGCACATATCCAGGCCACTGTAATGGCCTTCAGAAATATTAAAATCGTAAACATCAATGAACACTCCAAGTCATCCTTTAACATAATGTGACAAATTCCAGTCTGGTACTCTTTAAGGCAAAGTTGTGTCAGTTCTCATCATCTGACATTTCGTAGTGTTTAAGAGATCAGCGTAACATCCTCTAACAGCTGTTGCAACACGCGTCACCATTACTTCCAAACTGTATGTAATACTGTGTACCACTAAAGAGGGAATACAGAGGTCTGTCAATTCTGCATTGCATAGAAATAAAATTCTACTAAAATAATACTACAAAACTCTACTAAAAGCCTTTCATAAAAAATGTAACAACTTCCTGCTTTAGTTTCCATGAAGTCAGGAAACTGATCTCAAAATTTGAAGCCTTGTATCACAATGCCTCAAATTCTAGGGTTTTTTACTTTTCTGATTTACAACAATTTTGCGTGAGGCTGATTGTCCCGTTTTAAGAATGGTCTGAATACTGTGATTCTCTTAACAAACACTCATCTGGAAAACCCCTGGCAAGACTTGTCCAATTAATATTTTAATATTGAAGGCGTTAGCATTTTAAATTTTGCGTTTTGAGCAGAAAATTCCCTTTAACCTTGAAGACTGAAGTCCTTAAGTCTCAGACCAAAATGCTCTCATTCCTGTGGATGAAACTTAAGAGATCTAGAGTGAGGGGACGTTTGCTGAAGGTCTGGCCTCGCCCCGCCCCACTGAAGTTCCCCAGGATCTGTAACGGAATTAGCGATCAGTACTCAGCCGAGTTCAGGACAGCTGACGTGAAGCTCCAGAGCTTTCGCTCCTGAGCTGCAAGACTATTACTGCTGAAGTGTCCACCAAGAGACTCTGACAGCATCGGCCCTGTGGCTGGGGTCCCAGGAGCCCCCAGAAGCGACTGCCTGCCAGCTTCCCCAAGGGTAAGGAGCACCGGCCATAGCCAACCTGTGACGCCAACCATTCGTGTCTCGCAGGAGTCGGTTACGGTGCAGAGCGGCTTGAAGCACCGCCAGCCTCGGCGACTGGAGTCCCTGGGACTTGGACCCTTAGAAATAAAGTTGTTGAGAATGAACTGTTTCTATGTATTAATGTAGTCTAAGTTTATCTGCAGGAAAAAACTTAAAAACCTGGAACTGCTACAGGTGTTTGCAGGAGGGAAGGACATACTGAAACCTCTGCTGTAGACGAAGCTGAGTCACTTGCTGGTGCCGGCGCTACACAATCGAGTCTGTCGCACTGGCTGGGATCGGAGGAGGGTGTCCCAGCCTGCAGAGACCCCATCGGGTTACGTTCTTCCATAGTGTAGTCCTTAAAAATCCGAGATCAGGGCTTAGTCACTTGAGAGAAAACAAAAGGAAACGAAACAAAGCGAGGCTGATATTCTCCCTAACCCAGGGGTGTCCAGAGTCCAAGCAGGGGCTCCCAATCAGACCGCGTAGCTGCCCTGGAATTGTGTGTGAGCCTGGAAGGACCAGCGACGCGATGCTCCAGGAGACAAGAGTCTGCACTGCCACCGAGGTGTAGACCACACGTCACCAACCGCGGGGCAGCCCATCGCCAAGTCCTGACTTCAAGCTCCAATCTAGGATTTTGGCAATAAAATCGTTTGATGCACATCTACACTAGATTTTCTATCCAGTCTAGTAAAGTAAAGCACCTTTGGATTAAAAATATTAAGCTCAACAGTAACTAGACGTCTCAGTTTTGTGTTTTACTTTGCTTTATGTCTCCATGGCTTAATAATTTCTGTTGCCAGAGAAAAACATCAGTCTGTGGAGTCCAGACTTTCAGCTGGAGGGGCGTATTTCAACCTAAACGTACCTGGAGGGGGAAAGAGGGCAAGCATGAGTGACTGCAGGCCAGGCCAGCGAGCTGCCCGTCCTGGCTCAGGCTGGGAACCCCGCACACCACAGCCTGTGCCGAGGCCTGCCCTGGGCCGAGAGGCCGAGGGAACACTGCGGCCCTCCTCCACGCGGGCGCTTCCTCCCTGGATGTGGCCTGCACACGGCCGCCTGAGGCAGCATCAGGACCAGCTCTGGGCAGGGAGGCGGCCCCTGAAGGGCACGCAGGGAGCCCACAGCAACCCCCACCAGGCCTGCCAAGCAGGTGCCGGCTTCTAAAGGCTCTCTGGGGCTGGGGGTGGACAGGCAGCGCTGTGCTCAGCTTCAGGGAGGGCTGAAGTCCACAGACAGGACAGCCAGCGCTGCGGCAGCCCTCCCAACCCTGTCTGGTCTTCCTAAACAGTGAGAATAAACCCGGTGCGAGACTGCGTCAGACATTCTGACTGACTAGAGGGGAGCGGGAAGATGAGACCAACACCAGGAACTGCCGTGCCAGGGCCATGCTCTGAGCGTCAACCTGGGGGCAGCGTCAGCACCACCACCCTGGGGAGACTCGGAGCCCAGAGGCCCCGCCCAGCCTGGAGTCGGCCCCAGAGCCCGCGGTGACCCTTCCAGGGGCTTTGCGGGTTACCAAGGCTTCCGTATGTTTCTGAGTCGCGGCGCCGGGCCGGGCGAGCGTTTACCTTGCCGGTTGAAGTCCATGGACGGCTGCTTGCAGTCCTGAGCTCGGTGCCCGGTGGCCCCACAGTTGTAACAAGACAGGTTCCCGCTCTTTTTGTGACTAGAACCGTTGCTGCTGCCCACCAGCCCCTGGGTCTGGTACACGCCCGCTGCCCCTGCCATGAAGCTCTGCATGGGCGGCACGGCAAACGAGGACTGGCCGCCCAGCACGGGCTCAGGGGTGACGCTGCCACTGTAGGGGGCGTGCACGACGGGGAAGGCCGAGCTGCCGCCGTATTGCTGGGCGCTCACGTAGCCATTGCTGCACATGGGGCTGAAGGGCAGGAAGGGGAAGGTGAACATGGATGGCCCGGAGAACGGGTGCTGGAAGTAGTTGGTGTAGCTCACAGTCAGGCCGCCGGAGCCGCAGCTACCGCTGCACCCGCACGAGGTGCACACAATGCAGCCGGGTGGTGGCGCAGGCTGGGGGGGCGCAGGGGGCTGCTGATGGTGGTGGTGGTGATGGTGGCCCTGGCTCTGGGTGGGGAGGTTCCCTGCGGAGCCACTGCCACTGTAGAAGCTGCTTTCGGGGACCGAGGCAAGCGCGGGGCTGGAGCTGGGGGCCGGGTAGCTGGGCGCCGTGGCCATGCTGGCGAAGGCGGAGGCAGGGTGGCTGCTGGAGGAGGCAGGGTTGCTGTTGGTGCAGAAGCTGCCCTGCAGGGGCCCCACAGGCACGCTGCTCACAGCGGAGAAGGCAACTTTGGTGTTGGCTGTGTACAGAGCAGTCCGGGGGTTGATTATTGCAGGGGCCACACTGATCTGCACACTGTTGGGGCAGGATGTCTGGCCGGAGACGGCAGCATCGGCGGGGGCGGAGGACGACAGCAGCAGCTTGATGGGCGGCCGGGCCACATGCAGCACGGTGCTGGGTGTCCCTGCGGCTGCGGTGCTGGTCTCCACCGCCAGGGGCGGCTGCTGTGCTGTCTTCAGCACCCGGTCCAGTGTGGCCGCATGCACAACCTTTGCCCGGGGACCAAAGGAGACAGTTGGGGACACGGTGCTGCTCTCCGAGAGTCCCGAGAGGACCTGCACAGGTGGGTGTGGTGCCGATGGAGGGAGTGTGTCCAGCACAGCACTGCCGAAGCCCTTGTCCACCTTCACGCCAGTCCGGGCCCCGGGCCCTTTGCCCCTCTCCTCCAGAGACAGGAGCGAGTGCATGGATGACGACAGGAGCTTCACGTCCGAGCCCCCTCGCTCTGCTTTGTGCATGGAGCTCAGCATCCGCATTGGGGCCAGGTGCGAGGCAGCGGGCAGTAACTTCGAGGCCAAGGGGTGGTGGCCCGCAGGGCTGGAGCCTGCCTCGTTCTGCACAGGCAGGACCTGGGCCGTGGGTCTGGCGGAGCTCGAGGGGAAGTGGCTCAGCAGCATCACGGGCTTCTCCTTGTCGGAGCCCTCCAAGTGCACGTCCACACCTGAGGACAGACGAGAGCGGTCAGCGCCTCGCCCTCCTGGACCGGGGGCAGCACGGCGGGAGCCAGGGGCCTTACGTCTGTCGTTCTCCTCAGCGCTGTCCGAGCTCTCTTCTCGCACCTGCACGCCCATAGGGCTGGAGGAGGAGCTGGAGTACTCGGAGGAGCTGCCACCTTCCCGGGGCGTCTGGTGAGGGGGCTGCTCCACCTCCACCCGAAGCTCTGTGGAGAAGGCGTGGTCAGTGTGTGGTGACACCAGCGCCGGCCCAACGAGGCAGCACAGGGCCCAAAGTCTCGGGCCACGCAGGAAACTGTGCGGCTGAGTCAAACAGGGCCCCCACCTCCCACTGCAGGGCCCCCCGCACCCCAGCAGCACCGCACTGTCATCCCTGAAGTCCTCCCCACCATACACACAGATCACCCGGCCAAGCGACATGAGATCCTTCTAGCTAAACGACCACATGCAACAGACGCTGGCACTGGTTTCCTGCTGATTTACTACGGTATTGCTCTCGCCACTTCTACTCCCTCGGTAAGACAAGGGTGACTGTCACAGGTGTCCCTAACCTCCCCAAAAGAGGGACAAGGGCAGGTCGAGGAGAAGAGCTGAGAAACTGAGTCATGAGACATCGGGGCTCAGAGCTGGACGATGAGAAAGTGAGCCATGCTGGCCATCGGCACGAAGCAGGGACAGGGCCCTTGGTCCCCAGCCCTGTCACTTGTGGCCAGTGAGGCTCTCAGCATGGTAGCTCTGCATCTAACGCTTTCCCCACACAAGTTCCAACAAGTCACCAGGGCCCTCTTCTGTCCCGCTTGCCCCACCCCCTTCCTGTGCTAGCAAAGCTGCAAAAGTCAAAATAAAGAAAAATGAGTATGCAGACTGGGAAATGCAAGGGGCAGCCAACCGGCCGCAGGCACAGCGCCCAGCCAGTGAACAACTGCACCGCAGAGCTGCCAGCCGCACGCCTGAGCCGGGGCCCACGCACCTGCCGCGTGGCTGCTGCGTCCGGTCTGCACGGGCCCCACGTGGCTGGTGGGGGGGACTCGGGCCACTCCGCTGCTGGTGACCAAGGAAGGGGCCGCGGAGTTCAGGCACCGTCGCTCTGACTTCTCCCTGCGAAGACGCGAGAGCACGGGGACAGGCAGCACCGCTCCCCACGCTCCCCACACGGCGGGCTGGGCTCGTGCCGAGGGCCTCGCCCAGCCTGCTGACCCGGCAGGCGGGCTCCAGCCTCGGGAGGGCACGAGGGCTCACGAGCAGCCCGGGCGCCACGTCTCCTGCCCTGCAGCCGCGCTCTGCACAGCCTCACACTTACTTCTCCAGCTCCAGCTGGGTCTTCAGCTTCTTCTTCGCTCCCATGGTGAGGGACTCAAACTTGTTCAGATCTTCCTCGGTAAGGCTCAGAAACTGGCAGAGAAGAAACACTGCAAAGTTACTGCCACTTCCCAAGGTCTCCGGGATCAAAGAGCTTGGGGCTGAGCGTGAGCTCACCTCTGCCTCTGGGATCTGTCAGCAGGCCAAACCCAACCAGGCAGTGGCACACACGAACATGCCACGGAGGCACCTCACTCGCCGTACCCAAGTGCTACAGCCTCCCGCCCTCGCCTTGGGCGCACTGGGCAAGAGGCCAGCACCCAGCGGCCCCTGCTCCGCGCAGGCCGGTCACCTGCCAGCATGTGCTGTGTGCGCAGGTGACTCAAGGAGTCACAGCGCCTGCTGCCACAGGGGCACCCGGTGGCGGTGGCTCCACACCAAGGAGACCCTGCCGGGAAACGCCAGCCTGGGCACCCGCACACTGGGTCCTTCTGCACCGACAGCAACGCGGGCAGGGAGCAAGCCGGCCAGGGAAGAGACTGGGTCCCAGTGCACCGCAGCTACCCTTTGGCCTGACCCACGTGGCCACAGAAATGCGGGCTCGCAAGCTCTGGGACATGCTTTGCAACTTCGCCACTCCCACTCGTAGATTTGATTAGAAAACTTAAACCAATTATTACCACAGTTAGTGAAATCCTTTGTTTTTATGTTTCGCTGGTGGAGGTGGTGGTGGCGGCAGTAGGGATGGAACCCAGGGCCTCAGCCATGCTAGGCAAGTGCTCTATCACTGAGCTACATCCCCAGCCCTTTTTATTTTTTGAGATAGGGTCTTGCTAAGTTGCTGGGGATGACCTCAAATTCGGCATCCTGCTTCAGTCTCCCGTGTAGCTGGGATTACAGGTGTGTACTACCACACCTGGATAAATCTCATTTCATAAGATTTGTACATCTTTTTTGGGGTTGAGACACCATGTCACTATGTAGTCCAGGCTGGCCCAAGTTGGGAGGCTAAGGCAGAGGATGGCCATGAGGTTGAGGCCAGGGTGAACACTTGCAGCAGGACCCTGGCTCAAAAAACAAAACAAAGAAACAAACAAATCTTAAACTGAGGTTATTACAAATATTCTTTTTTTTTTTTTGGTACTGGGGATCAAACTCGGAACCTTGCACTTGCGAGGCAGGCACCGGAACCACTGAGCTAAACCTCTGCCCTATTCCAAATATTCTTAAAAGCTAGTTTTTCCTTTGTAGCAACAGCTTCACTTCTAGGTTCAACAATCAAGCTCTGGACACAGGAAGTTTTCACAAGAAACAGCCATCAAGCCGTCTTGTCCAGCAGGCAGAGTTCAGAGTTCAAATGCCTTGTATAGCTTTAGTTTTGTGACCCCGAGACTGAAAACCCTTCAGAATTTTAGCAACAGCAGTAACAACAATATACTCCTTGTCAAAATCCCCTGCTGTAAAACTCCCTCCTGGGGCAGCCTGCCTAAACCTCATCAGAGTGTTAGCGCCAACCCTCTGCCCGGCCATCAGCACAGCCCCTTTGTGGGTCAAGGTCCTTGGCCCCGGGGCACCAGCCCTTGGGAGGCTGCAGCCACACGTGCGTCGGGGGGGGGGGGCGGGGGGCGGCGCTTTCTGCCCACAGGCCAAGTTCGCCCCTCCTGCTCCCAGGCACAGGCTGCTGGACGAACACCCTCGTACCTTCTCCATGGTGAGCTGTTTAAAGACGGGATAGTACTTGTGCAGCCGCAGCTTCCTCAGCCAGTCCAAGATGCCGTTCTGCTCCGGGGGCGGTGGGGCCTGCAGGCCGGAGGGCATGAGGATGGTGGGCGTGGCGTCCACCTGGGCTCGGTACGCCAGCACTGAGGCCGCGCCAGCCGTGTGCTGCAGGTGGTGCTGGGCACTGCTCTGAGAAGACGGGATGCCAGCCACGCCGCACACGGGCCTGGGGATAGGGATGGGCGGGCACAGGCAGTTTTCAGGGGGCCAGCTCCGCTTCCCACAGGGTAGCCAGCACCCTCCCACCACGAACGTGGGACATCAGGGCCCTCCCCTGCCCACCCGAGCCCTGGCTCATGGCAGGACATCTGCAGTGGTGCAGGCTGGACGTGTGGGCATGCAGGGCACATGGTGTCCCCACCGGGGTTCAGGGTGAGCCATCTGAGTTACTCCTAAGTAACACGGGGGTATGGGTCAATCAGAACTTAAAACCGACTGCTAAGCACTCTCGGAACGTCGTGAAGGGCCTCTCGCTCCCCCAGCTAGGGCTGAGCCCAGATTCACTCCAGAAACAAGCGAGCGCAGCCTCACCTTCCAGACGCGCCCACCATGGTGCCCACTTTAGGGAGGGAAGAGTTGCCGGGACCTGGAAGTCAGGAAATAAATCGAATGAAAAGTTACATGCAATAAAAACGCCGTGGTTTACTTCTGAATCATATTACAAACTCACCTGGACTTTGAAGCTGTTGGGTAGAAGACGAAGTGCTGAAAAATTTCTTAATCTGGTCGTTTTTTAATACATGAGAAGGTAATGAAGCCAAATACCTGAAAATTCAAGTTTTATCAGCATTAAGATGGTATTAACAAAAGCCAATTGGGGAGGAATTTTAATTTTTAATTAAGAGAAAAAGATGCTACAGAAAAAATAAATAGAAGTGCCATAATTTCTTTTTTCCTTGCGCTTGCAAGGCAGGCAACAGCACCACCGAGCTACATCCCCAGCCAAAAATGACATAATTTTACTTACAGTGCTTGCTTTAATTTTTTTTTAATAGTACTGAAAAAAAAAAAAAAAACCAAACAAAACCTAGGCCCCTTTGTACCAAGCTACATTCCTAGCTCATTTTAATTTTTTTATTTTTTAATATTGAGACAGGGTCTGGCTAAGCCGCTAAGTTGCCCAGGCAGGGCTCAAACTTGTGATCCTTTGCCTCAGCTTCCAAGAGTGACGCCTAGGGTCCTGGTTTAATTCCATACCTGCATCTCCTCTAAATCCCTCCTTTTCCCTCTGCTACAAGGACCTGTGCTGTGGGCCACTGGTGCCACCTAAATGTGCCACTCCAGTAGGCAATGGGTGGCCAAGTCACAGGTATGACAATGACAGTGGGGATGGTGGCCGGCGACCTGGCCTGGGGACTGCTGGTCAGGCCCATCTCGGTCCTGGGGCAGCCTCAGCTCTGACCTCAGACCTTCCACATCCACCCCCAACACCCCTGGGGAATTCTGAGCCCTCAAACACTCCCAGAGGCTGGTGGAGACCCACAGCAGGGAGCCTCGCCCACCTCAGGCCGGCCTCCAGGTCCACATGGTTCCGCTCCACGTAGAAGGAGTCTGGGCCCGCCAGGCAGGGAATGAGCTTCTCCAGGTTCTCTTCCGGGCACACCTGGGACAACTGGAAGAGAAGACAAGTCAGCAGGCTCGTGAGGCCCCAGTGCACTGGCATAGTCCCTCAGCACAGGGAAAGCTTGGGCGGGGGCGGGGGAGGGAGGTGGCGGGCGTCATCTCTACCACTAGCCATGCTTGGCTTCGACAACCTCTGGATTCAGTAAGAACCACAGCGCTCAGTGGTCGCCACAACCCAAACTTTCCTCGTGCCCACCAGAGGCTGAGCTGCAAGGCCAGCTTCAGAATTGAATTTCAAAAGGGACCCCTCCCCAGGAGTTACAGGACCCATGCTCCACTTCGCCCATGGCCCTAGGCCATACAGAAGAGGTGGATGAACCCCATAGCATGCAGGCAGCCTCACTTCCAGGCCCTTCCCAGGAGGCCCCTGAGGGGACAGGCACAAGTCACTGTGCTTGTCCTCAGAACCCCATTCCCATCCAAGGCAAAAGCCCTTGGGCGGGGGGAGGGGGGGCAATAAGAACTGCCCCTGGCCCTAGAGTAAGAGAAGACCCCAGTTTCTGGAGTAAGGTGGGGCAATGCTTCCCTGCCTGTGCCAGCAGACCACAGCAAAGGAAAGCTAGAAAACCCAAGACCCCTGGAGGGGGGGCACAGGACCCCAAGCCCAGCACCGAGCAGAGGTCAGGCACTGCTGAGAAGGGGCCAGCCTTGCCCTCAACACTGGGTACAAAGGCCCTGTGCCTAGGACAGAGGCTGGGTGAGAGTGGCGACTCCTCCCTCACCCCCACAGGTTCAGCTCTAGCAGCCTACCCTGGGAGGTCAAGCAGGGGAAAGACCTCTCTGCACCCCAGGACAGGCAAGAGCTCACTGTGAGGGCTGTGGCAGGGAAGCCTCCAACACCCAGGAATCTCTAGGCCCAGGCAGCAGCAGCCTTTCACCCTGAGGCTGACCATGGCAACAACTTGCCCCCAGCCAGACCCTCCTGCATAGACTAACCTTAGGACCCCACTGATGCCCTGGCGAACAAAGCATGCTCATAGCAAGCATAATGCTGTTTCTTCAGTCTCTGTAGCTTTACAAACATGATGTCTAACATTCAACCAAAATTTGCAAGACATACAAAAAGGAAAAGAGGATAAAACTACTGTCAAGAGATAAAGCCATCACTAAAACAAGACTCAGAAATTAGCCAGCTGTTGGAACTTCAGAGAGAGACTGTAAAGTGACCACGGCCCATATCCAAAGGACCCAGCAAAAAAATATGGGCAGCTGCACGAATGAGAGGCAATTTTCAGCACAGTGATAAACATTTCACTGTAAGGCATGTGAAATGGAAAAGCTGGGGAATAAAACATCACCACAGGGGTAAAGACAAGGAGCAGCACCTTCAATAGGCTCCACAACCTCCTGGGCAGAGTGAGGGGAACACCAGTAGCCTTCAACAAGGGCAAGAGCGACTGCCCAAATGGCAACACTGAGCGCAAGAGCAACCAAAGCAAGAGAGGAGTCCCATGGGGCGTGGAGAAGAAGAGACACTTTAGCAGGCATCACATAAAAAATTCTCCAGAACTGATGGAAGACAACAAACCAGAGACTCAAGGAGGGCAAAGACCCAAGCAGGGTAAACATTAGCCATTGTAAACACCCAGACCAAAGACCAGCAAAAGGCCAAGGTTCCATGGGCAGGAGTCCACAGGAATGTCTCCAAGACACAAGGAGCAGCAGGCATAGAACAGGAAGCTCAGTGCTGGGAACACACAGAGGAACACGACCCCCTGCCCCCAATCTGTAACCTAGATGGCGTGGCCTGGAGCCATGGGGCCGAGCGGACATGTATGATCTAGCCTCTCTCCTGTCCTGGCAGAGAAGACCAGGCCTTCCACTGAGTATTCTCCTCCACTGTGGAAGGTGAGCATTTCAGACACACTTTGGTTGAGGTACTATACACATATGAGTACATGTGTGTGCATGCATGTACAGACAGGCAAAGAGGTACTTGGTGGTAGAACTTTTTGTTCAAATGTCATTTGTTGAACCAGTTTACAAACAAAAAGAAGAATCTGATCTGCAACGCAGGAACAGGTGGAACAGGAGCAACTCTGCCCGCTCTGCCCCCCAGAGTGTGGCCTTTGCCCTCAGCTCTGCCAAGGAAGCCTGGGCTGAAGAGTGACGGAATACAGAGGACACCAGGGAGCTGTGCATGGCACCCCACCCTGCCTCCTCCTGTCTCCACGGTGGGCAGAGACCAAGGACACCTGTGTGCAGGGATGGCACTGTGGACAGGCACAGCTCGAGGACATGGGGAGGGGGTGTTGGCATCAGTACAGAGCCCTCCATCACCTTACCTTTGAAATGAACTCAGTCACTTCTGAGGAAGATTTGGTTACGGATGTTACTGAAGAGTCAGACCACAAGACCTTGAAAACAAACAAACAAGCCTTGAAAGCAGACCCCACACCTTGATTCACAGCACACAGGCCCAGGCTTTCTTCGGGGCAGTCTCCGAATGCGTGGTGAATGGAGTGGCCGCACAGCCTTTAACTCATTCCAAGGGAAGCAGTAGAACTCAAGTCCTCTAAGTTTAACTTCCTGGCTTAGGCCATTATTCAAGTTACTAGAGCACGGGGTCCAAAGCTTACTCCTCCAAGTTCTAGAAAAATCACAACACTCACTTTGTGTGCAGGCGGCAGAATGTCCCCAAGGGGACCTCCTCTTAGCTAAGTCCGCATGACACTGGGTGCAGTCAGGAGCACCCCAGAAATTTGCCCTTTCACCCAGTGGTGAAAAGGTGCTACTGACACCAGACGAAATGAGGCTGGATCCCTGCCCTCAGGAACTGGCCAGACCAGGGGGGCCAGGGGGATAGCCTCAGAGATCTGGGACAACAGGCAGCTGACAATGGCCTCCGCAGAGGGGCCAGGGCTGGTGGGAAGAGCTGGAGAAGGATGTGCCAGCAGATGCTGCACCCTGTGAGCCAGATGCCGGCCCGGGCATGTGCTCAGGGTTGTGAGTCAATGCAGCTTCAGGACTTCCGGCATTCCTAGACAGGGCTGCATCCCTGCTGTCTTCCCCCCGTGTGGTCACAGCGAGCACCATGGAGGTGGCACCAGACCTGAGCGAGGGGCCTTGCACACCTGGGGCCAGCTCCTGTGTGAGACCCAGCTTCCCAAGGGTGGCCTTGGCCACAGCAATCAGTGGGCGGTGGCCCGAGGGACAGGCAGGGGCCGCCTGGGAAACACATGGAGCGCTAACTACCTAAAATCCAGGGGCCACTGGAGGGTTTCAAGGCAGGAAATAAAATGAGTGTGAGCTTCATTACCCAAAACAGAGACTTCACATTTACCTGAGTTTGGGGCACAGAGGTCTGAGATGCAAAGCCGCCCCGCTGCCCCCTGGGCAGCACCCGCTCCTGGAGTCCACTGTCCCCCACATGACAATCACGGGTCTGTTCCATCAAGACCTCAGGTCCAGGTAACAAGGGGAGGCCCCACCTCCGCGTCTGGACTCCCCACGCCTGCGCAGTGCACACCCTACACCCTGCCTATGCTGGTGAACACCCAGCAGGTCACCAGACGAGATTTCACGAGGGACCTGAAGAGGGTGGGCAGCTCACAAGCTCTACCCGAAGCACCAGTTCAGATGAAAGGCAGGGCCCGAGCACCCTCTGAGGCCCCAGCAGACAAAGGGGGAGCCCCAGACACCACAAGTCCCAGGTGGGACGCACTGCCCTCTCCTCCCACGCGCAGTCAAGTCCAGACCAGGCCACCAGCCCTGTGGCTTCCCAAACGACACCGGAGGGGGCCAGGCCATGGAAGGGGCTCCACACGCCAGCCAGGCCTGTGCTCTGCAGACCTGTGTCCACCCAAGTCAGTGTCACCTGGGCCACCAGGTGCACCCAGCACTTCCCATCACCCCCCGAGTGAGTCTGCTGTCACCCATGAACAGCACCACACGCACACAACACACGCTCAGGGCCCTGTTCGCAGTCTGGTTCCCCCAAGTTGCTGCTCCACTCAGTGCGCAGCCCCGCTGTCCATGCAGCCTCACCGCCCGGCAGAGGAGCTGCTGGAGCCCCCACTCTCTGGGGGGACACCAGGCAGCCGGACAGAGGACGCGCAGCCCTCCAGGCACGAGAGCTGGGGACCGCACCCTCCCGGGGGCTGCACCACTGTCGGAAACCACAGAACAGCTGGAGTGACCATCTCCCTGACAGCAAGGGAGCCTGAGCCCTGCCGACTGCCCTCCCTCAGGGACCCCTGCACACCCCCGGGGCACCACCCAGTCACCACCTTGGCCAGGAACCCACACAGACTCGTTGAGAGGACAGAGTGCCATCACTGCAGGGCAGGATGTCCCTACGGCACCTCCCCTCAGGGCCCTTCTCAGCACTCCCAGAGCACTCCTACGCATGCAGGGCAGCCCCAGGAACCACAGGGCTCAAGAGCCAGCAGCTGGAGGGAACAGGCCCCAGGGAGTGAGACCCCGAGGCACAGTTGTGTGCAGCCTGAGGGGTCCAGCCACCCAGCCCCGCTGCTCCTGGCCTCATCTGGTACACCTGCCTGGCTCTCAGCCACACATCCAAACCTGACAGAAATAAAAATCTGACGACAGTTACTCAGACTCATCCTCGCTCACAGAACTAAATATCCAGAGCGGCTAATACCGCTTTGAGACGGAAACAATGAACTTTTACAGACAAAATACAACAGTCCAGCAGCTGTAATGCCTGGGACTTTTTAAAAAGGTGCAGTTTTAAGAGTTATTTTAGGCAGACATGGTGACACATACCTGTAATATGGACGTACTTCGGGAGGCAAAGGCAGGAGGATTGTAGGTTCAAGCCCAGCCTAGGTAACTTAGAAAACTAGTGAAACTATGTCTCAAAAATAAGAAAATAAAATAAAAAGGGCTTGTGATGCAGCTCAGTGAAGGTCCTGGGTTCAATCCCCAGTACCACACACAAAAAAGGTTGATTTTTCCTAGCATTTTTAATAATTCTTAAATTACCACAACTCTACAGTCATCAGAAGTGTTTCAGAAGTTAGGAAATCTTTTGTACAATTCCTTCCCTGTTCAGCATGTGTAATAAGTAAAATTTCTTTTGAAAAGTTTTACTATTTCAATCCTTCTTCATAGTGAGTGTGGAAAAGCTGGTAAAATGCAGACGTTTCACAAGTATACAGTTATATACTAATTTCACATTCAAAAATATTCTACCATTTGCTTCCTACGTAACAAGCAACTAGCAGTTACAATTCTAGTAAAAGCAAAGCCAGCTCCGCGGAGGAGACCAGGACCCAGCCCCCAGGTGCAGTGTGGTGAAGTCACCCAGACCTGGTCTCCGATGTCGCCCCCGACCACAGGACCTTCCCTCTGAGTCTGCGGAGCCAGAGAGGAGCAGCACAGGACTGGGCGCGTGCACCGCGACTCGCGCCTCCCCCGGGCCTGCCGCTCGCTTCCTCGGCTTCCTGGACCCTCGGCCTCCCCTCGGGCCCCTCTCACGGCTTTCTCATTGTTCTGGGCGCCGCACACTCGCTATTCTCGTAGGTCACAAAAGACAGCCAGCTCAAGGGACAATTTACTTCATTTTCATTAGTGAAAGTTTGGTGGACTAAAGGAAAGCTTTTGGGTTTTTTATTTTTTCCTTTTTCTGGTACTGGCGGGGGACTGAAGCCAAGGCCTCAGGCCTGCTATCTATGGGCCCCACCAGAGCTACCACCCCAGGCTTTCTTAAAATTGTAAAACAGGGTCTCACTAAGTGACTTCAAACTTGCCAGCCTCCTGCCTCAGCCTCCTGAGTAGCTGTGATTAAGTATGTGCCACTACAGCTGGCTTCCTCAGTTTTTGAAGAGTTTTGAGTCACAGGTGACCACAAACCACATACGCAAGGTGTGTACCCCAACCTTCGACACCCACGAAACCAGCCCTCTCCAAGACACAGAGGGCACCGAGAGCGGCCTGTGACCTCCGTCGCCCCTAGCCCTCTTCCAGGAGAGGCGTAGGAAGAAGTGGGCAGTGGCCTATGTTGGACCCGCTTCCCAGATGCCCTCGCTGTACAAGTCCATGGACGGGTCTGCGGCCACAGGATGCCTGCCTGGGGTCTCCGGGAGAGGGCTGGGGGGGTGCTGCCACCAGCAGGGGGGGACTCCAGCCTGGCGAGCAGCGCTTCCACCAGGCAGGAAGTCCTCCCCCACGGGGACGGTGCTGACTGGCCCCTCCCCGGTGCCTGCCTGCCGCCCACACATCTCGTGTGCTGTCTGCTGTCTAAAACCCGCGTGCGCAGGCGACAACAGAACACTCCAGGGCGTGGGGAGGTGGCCAATGGTGGACGCTCCCAGTGAGACTGGATGGAGACGCACTGATGGCACACTGAGGACTCATGGGGACCCTAGCCACGTCCACGAAACCAGACACTGGTATACTGGTTTCCCAAAAACAAGGCCACACATTCCACCAGCTGTCATGCTGCCTTCTTTTTAATGTTGTAATAAAATACTTAAAACCTAAGCAAGTTTTGCTGCTTGCACGCACTGACCACGTTATACAGATGACACGTGGCCCAGGACAGTTCCTCGTCTCTCAATGATCTCCAGGAAGCCTGGCACCAGGCGCCAGAGCTCTCCAGGCGCAGGGCTGCTGCCAGCCACTGGCCCATGTGCCGGGTGATGCCTCCTGCACTCCCTCAAGCACCTGGACATCCGCCCCACCAGCCTGTGAGCGAGACCCACGCCTGGAGGCCCCCAGCTCTGTGATCACTTTCTGCGAGCCGGGACTGGGGAAGCTCAGCCCGATGAGGAAGCCAAGGAGGCTGGAGGTGCAGGGCGCCCTCCTCTGCAGACGCCGCCCTTGGCCCCTTCTCCACAGCCTGTGGTCTCCAACAACATGGCTTCCAGGGGCCCCGGTGAGACACAGAGGCAAAGCTGTCATGCAGGACGTAACAGACACATGAACACCATCGGTGCCCTACAAATGGCCACTCACAGATAAGAGATGTCACGGCGTGGGCGTGGCCTGTCACCAGAGGCCAGCCGCTTCCACTGTGGGCCGACATGGCCTGCCCGGGACCGGCACCAGCAGCAGTGCAGTCTGGACCATAGAGTTGCAGCCCTAGGCCCAGGCTGCTTCCCATCCACCTCATCAGTGACAGGAAGGCCACCAGTGTGCAGCTCCCCTGGGCCTGGTGTGCGTCCGAGTCCTCTGGGTGCCAGCTGCCAGCTGCTCCTCCCTTCCCAACTGGGGCTCCACGCTCCTGGGAGAGTCTATGAGGTGCTCCTCTGCACCTCTAAAGCTCACGTCTGCCCGACAGACTCTGGCTGTGACGTCCCTGCCACACGCTGTTCCCATGCCCTGGGCCCTGCCAGGATAACCACCCCAGGGTCAAGGGGGCTCAGGACCCACTGTGACCAGACAGAAGCACAGCCACTCTAAGGGGCTCTGTGCACAACACGCTCTGGAAACGGCCCCGCTGGATGCTGACAGTGCCGTCCCTATAAGGAGGCGGGAGGGCGAGGTGCAGAGACAGAGGGAAGAAGTGACGACCAGCCCTGTCTGCAGACACCACACAATGCCAGGGCTCCAGGGCAGGCAGGCAGAGGCCACCTCGGCGCCTCCCAGGGCTCCACACACCCTGCTGGCCCCACGACCTGGGGACACCGGCACTTGGGGATTCTATGTGGCAAGGCTCCAGCGACCCTACAGGAAGCCAACAATCTCCAACACCCGGGGCTCCCTCACTGTGAGCCCCAAATGTGGGTGACAACGGAGTCTCGTGATCAGCAGCTCCCCCACCCCATGAGATGGGACCTTGGAGCAGGAAAAGTGCTTCAAGTGCTGTGATCCGCCCACCATCTGACAGGAACCATCAGCTGCTCCCAGCATGGGCGCCAGACACTGCACAGGCACTTCTGCTCCCAGGCACATGCCAAATGGTGCTGGTCGGACAGCATGACCAGTCAGCCAGCGATGCACACGGTCGGCGGAGACCTGACACAGCCTGCCACACAGGTGACACGGCCCTAGTACAGCGGGAAGCGGCCAGCCAGAATGCTGTTGCCTGTCTCTCCTGCAGCTATGTGGGACTGAGAATTAGATTCTGGCCAAAAGAACCTGCTTTCAGAAATGTTCCTTTCTCATCTTCTTCATCCTGTATCTTGCTGCCCAGAATGAAAATGCTGAGGACCAGAGCCCTGGCCTCCCTCCGGGACCACAAGGCTAAGGGAGGTTGAGGTCCACACAGCAAGCTGGGGAGAGCCAGGCTGTGAGCTCTGATGGGGCACAGCTGCCACACGAGCCAGGCTGTGCCCAGCGCACCAGAGTGGAGGGACGTGGGCTATGCAAGATCCCATCCTAGCATCGGGTACATCTCATTTCTTACGAGTTGCACTGGATCAGTAAGGGGGACCACCTAGCTATCCATGGAGGTGCAGGTCCCTTCAGAGACTTTTTCTGTGCCCACCTGGTGGTCCTCATGGGCACCTGTGCTCCCCAGGTCTGCCTTGCGCAGGGCATCCCTGTCTCAACTCTCCCCAGACCCCGAGGTGCACTGGGAAAGTCTAACCTTGGCCGGCCCCACAGAGTTCAGCCACTGTCCTAGGGACACTGGGACAGAGATGCACCTCAACTACCCTGCCTGCCCCTCCTACAGCCAACATCCCCACCCTTCCCAGGAGAGGCCCACCCAGCCCTGTGCTGGGCACCAGACTGGGCACCGTGTCCATCAGCACAGAGGAGGGGCTTCGGGGCCAGAGGGGAAAGCAGCATCTTACCTCAAAGGAACATTCAACATTCCTGTCACTTTTTGTGTGTGATAATCCCTTCAGATCAATCTTTTCAACGCTCACTGTAAAAGTAAACAGACAGAAACACAATTATAAGAGGAAGTAAGATTCACGTTCATACACAAAACTGCCATTTCAGGCTTCAGTGTTGTCAAAGCGAGGTGTGTGACACCTGTGCCTGTCGAGGACCCTGTCCAGGGCCTCACTGGGACCGGAACCCGAAGAGGACAGCAGGGGCCATGCCTTGGGGCAGCTTGGGGCGGAACTGCAAGGGCAGGGCCAGGAGAGGAGGGCATGTGCTCAACGTGAGAACCCGCAGGAGCCAGGCCCTGCAGCCCGTCAAGGGGGCCGACGCTCGGAGGAGCAGGGAACCCGAGCCCACTGGACGGCCCAGAGATGTCCTGTATGCCTGGCCCTCCGGCGTCCACCTGCAGGCTCACCTTTGCACGGCGTGGCAAGGCCATGTGACAGCGTCAAGGGACATGCGCTGTCTCCGGGGACCTCACCACGCACTCCCCCTCCCTGCCCAAGCCTTTCTCTCCGAACTGAAGAGATCATTAGGCCTGGAGCGCAGCTGAGGGAGTTGAGGACAGAGTCAGAGCAACGTGCAGCCCCGCACCCAGTACCCGCACATCCACTGCTTCACACCCGTGTCTCCATGGTGTGCAGAGGCCCACGGCCCACTGTCCTGGTCCTGACCGGCCAGTGGGAGAGCCCAGGACACCTTCCTCCACGGCTGGAGGCCATGTCTGAGATTGGGTTCAGGAACCCCCCAGAAGCTGCGTGGACAAAATATTTAGGGGAGTCCCAGACACTCTGAAGGCCCTGATGGGTCCTGCGTGACTGTTTCTGGTTTCCAAATGATCCCAACCATGCCCGGGACAACACTGCTCTGTGGGCTGCCCGGGAGACTTTTCCACGCCTACCCTGCTGCAGCCAGCAACCACACGTAACCTGCGTTTTAATTAATTAAAACAGAATAAAGCTAAACATTTGATTCCTGGGGTGCTGACCACAGTCTCAGTCCTCCACAGCCACACGAGCCAGCGGCTGCCTCGCTATGCATGCAGATGTGCTCACCTCGGCCCCTGGCAGAGCTCTGCTGGAAACTCTCCCGGGTCACAGCCACACTGTACCTCGCGGGTCACCACCGGCCGCTCCCCGCCCCACCACAGCAGGGTAGGCTTGTGCAGATCCCAAGGGGGCCAGCCCCACTCGAGCATGGGCCCCAGACTCAGGACAGCCTGAGGGTCGGTGTGCACCTGGGAGGCATGAGTCCATCCACTCCGAGTCGGACCCAAAACGGCCCTCACTGGAAGGAATCCCTCTGCAAGACCAGATTTGTTTCCCTTCTGGCAAAACAACACACTGCACTGAGAGCTGCCACCACCTGCTGCTCTCTGTGAAGCCGCTCACCGCTCGGGTCACTCCTTATGTCCAACTGCCAGCAAATAAACAGCTTTTCTGTTTCTCCAACACAGTGTTTTTAAAACCGCGCCTGGGTGGCTCGCTCTGACCCACGGCTCCTCCCTCCCGAAGCCACAGAAGGCGCAACATCCTCGCACCCGGTGGGGGTGCCTGGCACCTGCCCTGCTCCCTCGTGTCCTGGGGCTGCACAGCACCAGGGTGTGTGGACAGGACAGGAAAAACCCAGCCGGACCTGGGGAAGTGACTCAGAGCCGGGCGGGAAGACTGAAAAGTAGACAGTGTCGTTCAGCTATTTTCAAATGAAAGGCATCTCAATGCCAGGCCAAGAGCTCCAGGCTGCCTCAGAACAGTCCCATGGGCTACTGTGCCCCTGCCAGCTCCACTGCCTGCCCGGGCCATCTGGTCCTGCGAGAGGTGTGATGCTGGTGGCAGCAGGGCGGTTGGGTTTGTACTTAGGGTCAAGAGGCATTTACGCATGTGCTCAGTGCTGGGGTTGGGCAGCTTGGGGTGCAGCTCGGGCAGAGCACTTGCCCAGCACGCAGATACAAGTAAAAGAGCATGGTTATAAAACAACACTGTGAAAAAATGCCTGTTATTCTAACTGAAAAATTGCAAGTTATAGGAGTAACATGAGTACAGTTTTGTTTAAAAGGCAAATGAAGAAACTCTGTAAGGAAATGATCAAAAATGATCGGAAAGGGCTGGGGATTTAGCTCAGTGGTTTCACTGCCTGCTGCCCAAGCGCAAGGGCCCGAGTTCTATCCCCGGTACCAAAAAAAAAAAAAAAAATGATAGGAAAAATCTATGGCATTGAAATCATAGGTAGTTTCCCTCCCAAATTTCTGCACTGCTTCACTGTTTCCAGTGCATGCAGGTGTCACCATCCGCTAGGAGGCTGCTCTCCCACACGCAGCCCCGTCCTCCCCGCCGGTCCTCGGGCTGCATCCGCGTCCTTCACAGGGCTCCCACTGTCCAAGGAGGGCGAGAAACACGTGTGTGGACAGGAGGGGCCACCTCCTCCGTCACCTGGCGGGACAGTGGGGCCGAGAGGACGGGACCCACAGCCAGGAAGCGCACTAGCCGGGGCCATGCCCTCCGAGGTGGGCAGGAGGACAGGACGGGCCCTCCCTGCCGCACCCCACAGCACTGCAGGGTGGACCACCCCACGAGATCCGCACCGCATGACCCCAGACCCCACTGGCTCACGCCAACATCGAAGGATGACGAGTCACACAACTCTGCAGCCCGCTGCCCCGAGGGTCCCGGCCCCATGCAGACTTCCAGGGCCCACAGGCCCACCCAGCAGCTTCACAGAGGACCCGCCCCAGCAGCGCCACACCTGGACAGCGCCAAGGGCCACGGGGCAACATGGGAGCTCCGAGGGCAGACCGTGAGGGGACAGCTCTCATTTATCCTGCTACTTCCCCTCCTGGGCACACGTGGGAACGTGAGGTTCCTCACCGTGACACACAGCGCGCAGCGTGTAATCGGCAGTGCTGCCGTGCCCTGGGCGCACATGCAGCTCTGCCCCGCTCGGCAGCGTCTCGCACCCGAGAGCTCAGGGTCAGAGCTGCAGGAAGACAGCTATGGCTATGGGCTACGGGACACCGCAGCCCTGACTGAATATTCAGCCCACACACAACTCACTATGAAAGCTCAGACAGTAGCACATCGTTGTCTGCGACGGGGACGCTGACTGATGGGCCCTCGGAGTAAGATCAGAAGAACAAGGGGACCGAAGAGCACAGTGCTGTCAAGGCCTGGGACGTGGCTCTGTCCCATCTGCTTTCCCAGACGCTCGGCCTGGCGGAGGCTGCGGGGTCGCCACACCCCCGCCTCGACCTGAGGTGGGAACGCATACTTTCTCCCAGGAGGCCACTCACTCCCGAGGCCCACCTGGCTGGCCTGGAGCACAGAGCAAAGCTCTGTGTGGGTTTCTGAGCAAGACTGTTCCCCTCACTGCCTCTGGGATCCGTCTCCCGCTCACAGTCAATTCTGCCTGATCCGCAGCCCTGCGCTCACATTTGCAGAAGCAGCACCGCCCTCCGACAGGGACACACCTGTGCTGGGGACACGGCCCGGCGGGCACTGCCACTCCAATGTCAGCCACAGCCTCACAGCGGGAAGACTGGGCTTTACCGACACAACCGACAGCTCGGCGGCCTCCATAACCTGTCCCAAGCAGCCCCGACCTCCAGTGAGAAGGTGCTCAGATTCATGTCCGGAGGAGAAAGTCCCACACTGAGCAGGACCTTCTTGCGATCAGAACACTTACTCGCCGGCAGGGATGCGCCACACACCGCTCATCTCTGCACGCGTGCGTGTCCACGTTCTGGGCTCTGGGCTCAGGGCTCATTTTATGTCTTTTTTTCTTGGTACTGGGGATCGAACTCGGGACCTTGTGCATGCAAGGCAGGCGGCGGGACCACTGAGCTAAATCCCAGGCCCTCTGGGCTCATTTTAAAGGAGTGCCTACCGACGCTGTTAGTGCCTTCCTCTTGCTTCCGGGGTAAACCTGCTTCAGGAAACCCTAGCTGAAGTGACTGTTGCAAACTCAGAGCTGGGAGCGGGCAGCAATGAGGCCCCAGAGCCAAAACGCAGGGGAAGGTATCTTCCCGGCTGACCGGGAGCTGCACGCCAGGATGGCGGGACAGGCATGGGGACACTCCCAGGAGAGCACAGCAGGGGAACTACCTAAAGCCTCCATTTTCTGGCCAAAATGGGGAGCCCTGGGGAGGCCAAAAGCACTCAAGTGGGAGCAGGGGCAGGGAGGGCATGGGGTGGATGTGGAGCCGGGCTCTGAATCCAACTACACACAGGGACCTCGACACCCAAGGCTCAGGGGGCCACTGAGCGACACCAAGGGAAGACAAAGCCAACTGGAGCCCATGGCACCGCCAGAGCCATGCGGGCACATGGCGACTGAAGCCACACTGTCTCACCCTCCACAGCTCTTCGTGCAGAGCCAGCGCCTCCCACAGAACAGGCAAGGAACCCAGCAGGACACAGCTGGAGCTGGCGGACAAGGCCACGGGACAGCTCCTAGCACAAGCACCCTAGGCCTAACCCTGAAGAGGCCAGGCCCAGGAGGACCCCGGGCAGCAGGTGAGGAAGGAGGGCGCCCGGCGGATGCTGTGAGCGGTGCGAGCTGAGGTTCTGGTGGGAGATGTGCCTGGCGCAGCAGTGGGATCTGCAGGCCCCGAGCCCTCAGCAGGACTGCTGTGGGAGCAACCCGAGAGCCGCCACGGCTGCCACCGCGCAGACCGGTGCTTAGTGCACAGGGAGGGCGCTCACATCTGGGAGACAGAGGGGAACCCAGGGGCAGGAGGACAGCAGGGAGGCCGGGGCTGGGTGGGGTGGGCACAGTGCCACAGAAAAGCGCAGATGCGGAAGGGGGCAGGGGAGAGCCCGGGCGGGACCCGGCCACCTGTGCAAGGCAGCCTGAGCAAGCCATGTGCCACAGTCAGGGGCGACCGGCCGGAGCAGAGGCACCGACCACACTGTCCTCGGTGCCGGGCATGGACAGCGCCACCCACAGAAGCCGCTTCCACCTGGACCTCGAAAGCAAAGTCACTGGCTGCAGGAGGGCGGGTCCGGTGACAGGGCCCACGGTCCAGGAAGTGGCCAAGGACCCTGCCGAAGTCCCTGAGACACGGGTGCAGCCGTGGCCCTCACGTGACAGGCAGCTCGAGGGACAAGGGTAAACTGTGGGACATGTTCACGAGGCAAGTGCCGCTCATCAGAAGACGCCAGAGAAGCAGGCGGGCAGACAGGGAGGCGACGCACCTGCTCCCGCCTGCAGTCGCCTCATCAGCATGGGAACAGCGGGGCCCTCAGAAGCCCTCTGTCCAGCTGCTCGAGGGACAGGAGGGCAGGGTCCAGACGACCACTCACGAAGGACAGAGCCATGACCACCACGCACAGCCCGAAGAACTGGAGAGGGTTTGCCGTGCTGAGACACTGCTTCCTGTGCCGAGGAAAGCACTCTTCCGAGGAACACAGCGGACTCCAGAGTGCCGTCCATCGTGCGGGAGAAGACCCCCAACAGGTCACAAAACCGGAAAACACCAGGAAAACACAAGAGAAAAAGCAGCACACAACACACACCCAGCCCTAGACGACCCAGAAGTTGAAAAACAGCAGGCTAGGATTTGAAAGCACTTACGGTAATTACGTTCCAGGATGTTTGAAAAGTAAAAGTGCTCCCAGTTTGTAATGCCTAAAGCTTGGAAACGGCCCAAGTGCCCATCAACTGGAGACTGGATAAAGAAGATGTAGGTTTTTATAAAATGGAGTACTACTCAGCCATAAAGAACAAGAAACCAGAGACATTTATAGCTAAATGGATGTATATTGAGGCGATACTCTTAAGTGAAATAAATAGGACACACATGTGTAAATTCCAAATAGTTTCTCTAGTGTGAGAAACTGAAAGTGTAAATAAGGATCAAAATGTATAACTGATATTGCAAAATACACAGAAAATGTCTAAAGGAATAGGGGAAGTGGGAGGGGTAGAGGAAAGGAAAGAAGGGAAAAGAAAAAATATGAGAAAAGGAAAAACGTGGAAACAAAGTCTTTGTAAATAGGGAGGGATGGGCAGGGATATGGGGAAAAAATAAGAACCAAGATACATCATGTAAAGGTACAAGATCCCAATGATGAATATAGGTGTAATGTACACCTAAAATGTACCAATAAACTAAATGGGAAAAAAAAGTGCTCCTGTAAGGAATGGTCAGGACTCAGCAGAGAAAAAGAATTACCAAAAAAAAGAACCAAATTGAAATTCTAAAACTGAAAAACACAATAGCCGATGTAAAAACATCCACTGCAAGGGGCAGGGATTTAGCTCAGTGGCACCACACCTGCCTGGCAAGTGCAAGGTCCTGAGTTCAATTCCTGGTGCCAAAAAAAAACAATCCACTGCACAGGCTAAAGCAGGTTGGGGATGATGGAAGAAGGAACTTGAAAACAGATCAAAGGACAGTGTCCAACCTGAAGAGCAGAGGAGGAGACTGGAGAAGGTGAGCAGAGGCTCTGGACCCGCACACCCTGAGGCTCAGAGTCACAGGCAGAGGGGAGGGGAGAACAGGAGGAAAGACATCCATATGGCTGAAAATCCCCCAAGATTGGTGAAAGACAAGAAGTGAAATCAATAAAATTTTTAAAAACCCAAAAAACCATACACCCGGGGGCACTGTAGTCAAACTGTTCCAAAAGAAAGCGTGAGGCCCAGCAGAGGAAAACAGCACCTGGCACAGTGGGTCAGAGGGCGCAACCTTAAGGGACACGGGCAGTTCAAAGCCTGAAGGGGACTCTGAAGCGAGTTCCCTGATCAGCGAGAGGAAGCCGTGCGACACGAAGACACCTTTGGACACACGGACACGAGGAGACACCGCAGCCAGCGGAGCTGCGTGGAACAAAACACACCAGGATGTGCTTGAGGCCAGCAAGATCACGAGGTGTACGTGTGGGAGATCAGAGACCACCACTGGGGGCCATGACTTCATGGGGCGGGGCAGGGAGCACAGGACAGCGCACCTCTCCTCCGCGACTGCCTCCGCCCTGCCAACATAGGGAGCAGCCAGGGGAGTGGGTGGGCTGGCCTCACTCCCCAGGAACAACTCAGCTGCAAGATTTTTTGTTTTTTTGGTACGGGAGATCGAACTCGGGACCTTGTACTTGCGAGCCAGGCGGTGGCACCACTGAGCTAAATCCCTGGCCCATGATTTTTTTTTTCCAGAGTCAGGGTCTTGCTGTGCAGTTCAAGCTGGCCTTGAACTCACGTCAGTCCTCCTGCCTCAGCCTCCCAAGTGCTGGGATCACAGGCGTGTGCCACCACGCCTGGCTTAAGATTCTTCTACTGTACTGAAGCAGGTCAACATCACCTCCAAAGGGAGCCTGAAGGGACAGGCTCCGGCGGCATCTCTCCCGGGACACCATGCAGGAGGAGGGGCAGGTCTCTGGGTGACAGCTCCACACATCAGGGCCACGGCCCCAGGATGAGCAGGCCGAAGAGATGTCCACAGGAGGAGCGATGGCACGCCTCCTTGGACTCCAAGGACAGTCACTGCTGGCACCTCACAGGGCTGAGGACCTAGAGCTCTGGAGCCCATGTGACTAACACGGCCAGGTGTCAAGGGTGAGCCACACCCCATGCCAGAGGCAGCTGGTTCTGGCTGGAATGGCCAAGCGGGGTGGGGTTTGACCTCAGAGACACAGCCCTGACCACGCAGCAGAGACGTGATGCTGGGGACACAGGGCAGCACAGGAGGGTGATGGGCCAGGCAGCAGCACAGACCTAACCCTGCAGCGGAGGCGGCACCATGCCCAGGAGTGCCAAGCGCCTGGAGCCCAGCGAGCAGGGCCAGGCAGCCTGGCAGGGGGACCTCACGAGCACGACCCAGTCGGGATGCACCTGTGCCCCCACTGCAAAGACCCTGGGAGTCTCTCGTCCATCTCAGTCTAGACGGCCGCAGGAGCTGGGCCTGTGGGGAGCCGGGAGGGCCGAGGGAGGGCCGAGGGCGCCACCCCACCCACCACGGCTGCTCAGTGCCGGGCACCCTGAGCCAGCCACAGACCCCAGGTCACAGGACAGCGTGGTCCCTTGGAGCACAGGCCGCATGCCGGGCTGCTGGCTCTTGTGGCTGGTGACACCAGGGCAGAGCAGACGGAACACTGCATGGGCTCAGCAGGCTCAGGGCAGTGCCACTCCTGGGGACGGCCTGGGGTGAGCGCTTGCTTTGGGGAGTGGGGGCGTGGAACAACGCTGTTTCCCTCGATGACACCAACATTGGATATTTTTCCTGTCAAAATAAGCTCGAGCAGCACTTGCGAACCAGGAAGGCGAGGGACCTTGCAAGCCGAGCGCCTCTGGTCTGCGGCTCTCTCGCAACCTCCAGGGCGGCCCAGGACCCACCTTTGCCATGCTTGCCCGGTGGCCTCTTGGGCTCCTCCGAGGAATGTGCGGACGTGCGCAGCGCCTTCTCCAGGCTGTTCCCCACGCTGCTCACGGGGGGCTCGGCCCGGGGGGCCATCTGGGGAGACAAAACACACTCGACTTACTTCTTCTATTGCGGTAACAGGACAGTTTTGGTTCTTCTTTGAGAAGCGTGCATACATACCGGCATTTTGTGCAGTCCTGTATACAGATTCATGGTCTCGTGCTGGCAGCATGGCACATGCACTTCCACCTCTCACATTTCTCTAGGAAAAATGTACTGCTATGTAGTAAGCAGCACCTCCTGGGGAAGATACAGGTCCATCTACCCCCCCAAACTAAGAACAGCCCAGGTGTCTTTCCCCTCACACAGCAGCTGCCTCCAATCAGGAGTTCATCAGACTGGATGAAGACTGCACAAAGACTCTGGGCCCTGGCATGAATCACCTACCTCTTTTGAACCAAGTCTTATTTTTCTATTTCTTCAAATCAATTAATTCCTCATAAAACTAATTACAAAGCAAGACTTAATGCTACCCTTATGTAAATCATAGACAAAATGCTCTAAAAGCAGCTGTGGAGAAAGAACAGAATATAACTGAACGGGCCACAGTCTGAGCAGACACATTCCAGGGCGATTCTGCATGCATCTCCAGAGCACGCACATGGGGAGCCTGCCTGGAGGGAGTGGCGCTCGCCGCAGCTCGGCACACAACTCTTGGGGTGTCAGCAGCATCTGTGCAGCGGTTGATGACACAGCTCAGGTACCCACAGGCAGCCAAGGACAAGTGCCTGAGAACACTGCTCTCCAATGCACACCGAGTGTAGCAGCCAGGCTCGGGATTCGGGGACAGTGTCAGCCTCCCCTGCTTGGCTGAAGGAGGGTGGTCTGTGGGGAAGCGGAAGTCGCCGAGGCCTGGCCGGGTCCTGACACAGGCCATCCAGAGGGGCCCAGCCCGGCAGGCAGGTTTTGCAACAGCCTCCACGCCCACCCTGAAGTACTCAGGAGTTTTACAGCCACAGTGTTTGGACTTAGAAGAAGAATTAGCAACGCTTTAGCATCTTTACGATCTCACTCTAACATATTTCAAAAGCTGTCAAATTCTAGTGCAAGGTCTGAGAGGCACCACGCTGCTACTCCCTGGGGAGCTGCTCGGGAAGCAGCAGCCATGCTGGGTCCCCCTGGGGGCGTGGCTGCCAGAGTCTCTGACCAGCTCTGCACCTGCCCTGCATGCTGGGTGGCAGGCGGGAGCTGGCCAGGCAGAGGGCAGCCTCGAGGTCAGCCCACAGGAGGGAGGTGGAGGCAGGGCAAGCTGCGTCTCACAGGACTCCCGAGACTCCCGTCTGCCTGGGCCTGACACCCTCTCCGCCAAAGCCCCTGCGCGGGAAGCCCTGCTGGCCACGGGGTGAGAAGGCCTCGGCGCCACGGGTACCCACAGCCCAAGCGGCCCCCACAGGCTGGGTCGGTTTGTCAGGAAGACAAACCCTGGCCACTCCGAACTCCTCCAGGAAAAGCCAGTTCTCTGAATAACATTACCAAGACATTCTCAAGAACGGTAAAACATTTAAATTACTTATATTTGTAATTTAACCAAATTAGGCATTTTCCTTTCCTTTATAAAAGTCTCTTTCATCATCCAGTGGCGAGAGCCGGCGTGTGCAACCTGGGCCACAGGCGGCCCCAGAAGCTGATAACGCAGCCCCACAGGGCCACAGTCTTCCGTCACCGCCTGGTTTCCACTGCTCTTTCATGACCAGGCTGCTGGCCCTGAGCAGGGACTGCACGGTGACGGGAATGCTGTGTGGGGTGGGATCAGCACGTGGCTCACCCCGCCTCCTGTGTCCACCGCACGCAACCCGCTAAACCCACGTGTGTCCTTGTGACTTGCAAGCAAAACACTGCAATTATTAATGACAGTATTTCAACCAACGTACGTGTGTTTGTGTGTGTGCGTGCACACACCTGGGAGGACAAGAGGTTATTGTGACTAAGCAGACATGTAAGGTCTCTTATTTAATCATGAAACTCAGGCGTGTGGCATTATTGTGGCGTTTTTTTTTTTTTGGTACTGAGGATCGAACTCGGGTCCTTGCACTTGCACAGCAGGCGGCGAAACCACTGAGCTAAATCCCCAGCCCTGTTGTGTTTTAATGTTACAATTAAATACGTAAAGGAAGCCTCAGGTGTTTTATTTGTGGCCGTAGACAGTGTGGCGCAGCCTCGCAAGCCAGGAGCCGGGCACCCGCGGGCTGCAGTGTCCACAACGAGCTGCTTTCCCATCCAGCAAGACAAAAACGGTAAAAGGAGTCTTTTATTCCACACTGCAAACAAGACCCTGGGACCTGCACAGCAGCCCAGCCAGCGCCCACTCTCAACCTGCAGGCCTTCCTGCCTCTTGAGTGGAATTCTCCATCCTGGCCCTGGAAGAGAGAGGGGCTGTCGACCAACAGCGGATGCTGGCTTGCTGCCAGTCCGTGGTGACAATCCCGGCCCCACACATGGACTCGAGGGTGACCAGGAGGTTCCAGGCCACGCCACAGCACCACAGCGGCCACATGCGGAATCTGGCTCCCAATGCAGGCTGAGGGGCTCTGAGCGTGGCCGAGAGCTGGGCTGCCTCAATGGCATCAACCCCACTGCATACTGGAGCCCCGGGCACCCCTGCAAGGCGCTCTGGAGGAGCAGTCTGTGACTTGTTTTGGTTGTTTCAATTTCTGAGGCAGGGTCTCACCATGGAATCCAGGCTGGCCCTGAACTGACAGTGAAGCCCTGCCTTCCCTCCAGAGCACCAGAACGCCCAGCTGTCTGTGTTCTGCCCGTGTGGCTCACTGTGGCAGGGGGGCCCCAGGCTGGCCCAGGCGTTACCGGGATCACGCTGCCTGTTCCCAGCGAGGTCGGTCAACAGGAAGTGCTTCCTGTAGCCAAGAGGAAGAGCAGAGGGCTGCCCACGCGTGCATACACACAGGCACACACGCCGCTGCTGATGTGAGAACAAGGAAGGAACTGCCTCACACTGTAACCACTGCAAGAGAAATCCTTTTTCCCCTCCGTGGTATTCTCTCTTTCCCAAAGCATTTTCTTCTTAGTTTTCCACTGTTCACTTTTTCCAACCCACCCTTTATCTTCCTTTGTTTACACTGAAAGCTGCCTTCACTTTCGTTTCCCAGAAATGCTGTTTTTGGGTTATTTTTGGTGAGGTTAATTTGCCCACGTGACCCGGCAGCTCAACTCAGATGCTCTCTGACTCATGCCGGCAAGGCGAGGAGCTCGTCAGGCTGGACGTGCAGCACACGGCCGATGGGTCCCACATGCTGCTGTCTACTGCCTTGGGCTGCAGCTTCCCTGCCTCACCAGCCCACCACGCTTCATTTCCCAGTGATGACCAGCGTCCTGCACTGGGCCCGCTGACAACGACCCTTTCCTTGGCAACCTGTCCCCAGCCCTCCTCCCCGGGGCAGTGGGCCTGTCTGCCGGAGCTCAACAGCAGCTGTGCACTCAGAAGGCCCCTCGATGGCCTCCGGGCTACGTACAACCAACACCACCCCAGTGGGGACTTCTGGCTGCTCAGGGAGGTGGGGACATTTTTGTTGTGGTCTTGGTTTGTTCACTGTGGGTTCCCTGCGGTGCCTGCCATGCAGTGGGCACGGATGCATCTGTAAAATGTGTAAGTGTGTCACCAAAATGTAATGACATTCAGGACAAACCAATAACAACCATCGAAGGAGCATCCCCCAGAGGGAAGCCAGAGCAGCTTCTGGGGTCACAGCAGGCCCGCCAGCCCCACTGCCTCCTTCCCTTCCAACCTTCTCCAGGAAGGGGCCGGATGGTCTACCCTCGGGTACACACACACACACACACACACACACACACACACACAGATGCACGTCAAACCAACACGAGCCCCACTGTGAACATCCTGTGTGGGCTTTTTTTGATGCCTATATAGAGCTCCTCACCATCAACTGCAACAGGTTCAAACCCCTGGACCTTATTTTCACAGTCCTTCTGAACTTTTAGTCTCTGTTACACACAGTCTTACTTTCCATTCTTCCCAGGGCAGAGGTGCTCAGCAAGCAGTGCATCTGTCCCTGAGGGGACTCGTGACCCCATCTGGAGGCATTCTGGGCTGTCCTAACAGGGTGAGGGTCCTGCTAGTATCCCACTCGGGGCCAGGGATGCTGAAGCCGCCACGTGCACAGGGCAGCCCAGCTGGGCAGGGAGAGCCACCTCTGCTAGCCCTTGCACCCCACGACTAGCCCTGCACACAGACAGGCCTGCAACCCCTGCATCCTCCAGCACAGACCCCAGCACTGCACCTTCCCAGTCCCGAGACAGTGCCCAGCAACAACAGGTGGTGGGCAGCGTCTCAGTGATGCGACAGGATGAAGCAAACCCCAGTGAAGCAACAGAACTTCACAAGCAAGACTAGCTCTGCCACAGCACACTGGACCATCTGTACTGCAGATAAGGGACAGGAAGGCACCCAGCGTTCACCACGAGGCTTCGGCTCTCCAGATTGCTGGGGGACAGGGTCAGAGCGCAGCCCTGTGACATGCAAAGGACACCCCCAGACCCCTCCAGCTTGCTTATGGACAAGGCGGCGACACTGTCCATATTTGCAAAGCACTGGAAACAAGCACCATCCACATGAGACCAGGTCAACAAAACAAACACCACACACAGGGCACTGGGGTCAGGTCTGAAAAGACAGAAAGGGACAGAGCCAGCTGTTGCTGTCATGGGACTGCTACGGCACAAGTTTAAAAAGCCAGAAAAAGCCCGGTGCAAACAGAGAGCCTGTGATGTACAGGTACAAAGTGAGAGACCCTGGTGGAGGTGGGGGCAGGAGATGCCAGCACGGGGCCACACTTCAGGTCGTCTCCACCAGTACTGACCGTGTGTGGTCAGTGTGACCTTTGCAGTCACTGCTGTCTGCACAGGTCAAATTGTCTCCACATGAAAAACTGAACTGTGCTTCTCACGCCTTCTCCACAGCCAGCAGGGGGCAGAAGCAAGCAGCCAGCAGCCAGAGGTGCAGGGTCCCTCAGACCAAACCAAGGGGCTGCGGGGCTTAGGCGGCTGCCTCCAGGCCTCCT